GGGGGGGGGGAAAGGGGGTGGGTGTTCAGGGATGATGCGGCATCAGAGTTGTGGGTGTTGTGTAACTAACTTGTACCAGCGTTGATTAGCTGTCACAAGCATTACGGAAATTTAGCCACAATCAGAGTAGTGTGAGCTACCAGTAACGAGCAGGGATTGTTTCCTGCCACTGCCCAGTCAGCTCGTTAAGAGACTGCGTGGGAACCCTGCCACAAGTCGACAAGCCTCCACCAACTGCAACCCCAGCACTCAAGTGGCCAAGCACCGCCAAGGCCCATCCCTGCACTGCAGCTGGCTCCCTGACCTTGACCTTGACCCCCGACCCCCTTCCCTCTTTTCAATTTTCCCTCTCTTCAGCCTTCACTGCTCTGCTGTCACCGTCACCTTCAAACCACTTCCTCATCCGCTCGGTTCGGTGTGCCCGGTGGATTCAAAACATTTTCTGCCTCGGAGCCAGATTGGTTACCCGTGTGTTTTGGGGCCTAGTCTCTTGATCAAACCAAGTTTGGCCTGCATGCTCATGCGCCTAACTTGATCTTCACTAACCCACACTTTGATCACTGAGTCTAACTTTGACCACCACTAGTCTTTGCTTTAGCGTGGCATAGCGCCCATCCATTTCAGTGTCATCACTCTTCCACATAGCGAAAGGCAAAAACTCTATTGGCCTTCCAAGTGGCTGTTCGCCCTCGTCCAAAGTGCCCATCGCCCGGCTGGCAGAGGGAAAAAAAAAAGGGGACCTGGAGCGGACCTGCCGAACAAGTCATAACTCAGGTTTGCCTGACAGGTGCTCTGTCTGCCATCAGAGACAGAAAAAAATAAGGCGAAGCAAAAGCCAGCTTGTCCCTCCATCAACTAGCTCTTAGATCAAAAAGAGCCGAGTCTACCACTATCCATCCTCTCTCCGGTATCAGAAACACGCCATCAAACAAGCCGGTCTCACTGCTTTCCCACACTATTCCTCAGGGAAAATTATCCACGTTGCCTCATTTTACCTGGCTTCTGATTCTCTCCTCGATCTAAGACTCACACCGTCCCACCGTTGATCTCAATCAATACCTTGCTCAACAGAGCTTGTGAAGGGGCTACTCCATAAGATCACTAGCCGCCCACTGTCGCACCTTGCCTCTTTCATCAACTGCGCGAGCTGTCAAGAACCACCTGGATCCCTTCTCACAAGCTCGAACCGTCTTCATCTAGTTTGCCCGCCGTGAACGCATTATTGCCCCTACCCGCATACCGGCGCTGGTGTTGACCATCCAGTCGCCTGTACCTCAGTTCGACGAGATCCTCACTCTCGTACCCCCCCATCCACGCCTGTGTCAGGGCCGTGCCTAGACGTGGGATCACGGCGTCCATACGACCGAGCGACTGTTTTATGGACAGAAGTGCATCTGATTACTCGCAGTCAGGTTAGCACTCCGTCACGCGTTCACCATCGAGAAGGAACACATTTCTGAGACCCCCTCCAAAAAATTACAGATCACGCGTCTACTGCCCAGTACACACCGCAGTCAGAAGTTCGATCTGCCACTACTAGCCTGTCGAATTCGAATACGCCGCAATCCGACTACGACCTGAATTCGTCGTCAGCGCGCTCAGCCGGGTATCCAGCCGAATACATCACGCGTCAACCGCAGTACCAACACACATCTCAACATCAAGGTGCCGTTGGGAGCATGGCTCAAGCAACAAGTCCGTCACTGTCCCTGCAAGATGGTGGACCACCACATGACCATCGTGCTGCCAATCGCATGAAATCTGACAGCGACGTTCCTATAGATCCATCCATCGCCCAACAGACCAGTCCTGCCTATCCACCGCCTTATTCGCCCTACAACGCGCAAGGCCCGCACGAGATGCCGCACTACCCGAACCAGCCTCCTCCGGGGATGTATCGACCCAACCCTCCCGACTGGCCACCTCAGTATGGTCACTCTCACGGCATGCCAGGACAGTACAGTGCTGGTCCGAATGTGAATTCTGCATCACCCGCCACTGCAGGCTCACGTTCAGGACAGGTGTGTTCATCTCTCTTAGTCTCAGAGGCTAGTTTATGACGCGTCCCCTTTTGTTTTTCATCGTGGAAGAAGTGCAGGTTGTCAGTGGACCAGTAGCTAATCTGGCTGTTCTGCAGGTGTACTCTTTTGTTCCTATCCCGGGCGCCCAGCAGCACAAGCGGCCGCGTCGTCGATATGAGGAAATTGAGAGAATGTACAAGTGTGGCTGGAATGGCTGCGAGAAGGCCTATGGCACATTGAATCATTTGAATGCACATGTGACCATGCAATCCCACGGCATCAAGAGAACTCCTGAAGGTAAGCAAATATTGTTGTTTCCCTTGCTGATCGCAAATCCCTTTTTTGGGTTAGACGCGTTCCTTAGTCGTGTTACACAAACACATGGTCAGGCCTCATGGTCGCAGTAGTGCCAGAATAGCGGGCCCCATCTAATTGCACTACCTTAGCACATCTGATATTCCATCTCACTGACATTCATGAACAGAATTCAAGGAGATCCGCAAAGAATGGAAAGCTCGCAAGAAGGAGGAAGAGACGCAGCGCAAGCAGGAAGAAGAGCGAAATCGTGCTCAAGCTGCCGCCACCCAAGTCGATGGTCAGCCTGATCAACCCCAAGCGGGCCAAGGGCCAACCTACCAGCCAGGTTCACGCCCTCAGCTGCCACCCATTGGCTACCAGTCTGCTCAAGCTGGTGAGGTCCCCAGTCCATACCCCGCGCAACAAGGTGGCATGGTCTACCAGCAAGGTAATGGTCAAATCGGCCAGTACGGCCAGTACCCTCCTCCCCAATCACCCTACGGCCAACAGGGGCAGGTCTACCAGCAGCGTAAGCCGTTTTCTGCCCTCCCCTCTAGTGTTGTTCATGCTGATAGCTAACGGTCAACGCAGACAATGCCAACTACCAGAATTAATGACTACATGCTTCATCGTCCCCGTTGTCGTCGCGTTACCAACACTTGAAACCAACAGATACCCAGGTGGGAGTGGAGGATCTAATGGAAACGCTGGAACGGGCATGAATCATGGAGTTGTTGCATTGAACGGGTGGCCATGTCCTTTCTCAACGAAATTGCACAGTGGACGATACGTTGATAAGACAGGCTAAATACCTGAGCACTGTTTGTTTTTTTCTTCTGGGGCATTTTCTTGCTTGATTGCTCGTTTCTTTGCATCGTCTTCGGCCTCAGCTTCAGCTTCAGCCTCTCCCTCTCATGGGTAAAAAGAATGCTCGGTCGAATAGCATCCTTCTACCTCTACTATGGCACCATCCCATGTACATTGTGTGCTTTGCAGTCACGACATTGCAGTCTTTCTACTTCACCGCCAACAAGTTCACTTTCTCGAGCTCATCCTAGAAGGGGAAACAAGGAGGTGTGGTAGACGGTGGTTTATTGTGTGTTACAAGTTCGAAAATAGAGTCAGTCCAGCAGTTCTCATTACCCAAACACCTGGCTCCGCTTTCTTGTGACCACTTTGACCATTTTCACCATTTTGACTTTGAACTACTGTGTACTTGCTGGGAAGTAACACGTTGTATAAGGGAAACGTGGCAACTATTTTAGACCTCCCACCTATTTTTCACTTGCTTGACTTATTTAGTATGGAAAGAAGTAGCACAATGCATGGAAGACAGACCCTGGCAATAGTTCATTCTTTAGCTTGACCTACGTGGTGGTATGCATTTCTATTTCCGTCACTCCAAACATTGGGGTTACACAAGACCAATGATGCAGCTATCTTAGTAGCTTCATCACCTGAGTTTCATACCAGGCAGGTTCTAAGCTGCGGGATTATTGCAGTGGTGCGGGCTTCCTCGTTTGCGGTTTCATGCTTTGGGTTTCATGGTCTATGTAGGTTGAGTTTGGTTTGCTGCAGTCTCGGTCGTTAGTATGTCGATCAGACACGATCTGCCATGTGTTTCATCTGGCCGATGGGTTGTTCGATGGCATGCTTCTAGAATGTGTCTGAGTACGTAAAAGTTGTCCCTGCTGCTTGAAGGATTATGTGCAACCTGGATATGTCTCTTGGCTTTTTCAAGGTCGGATCTGTTGGGTGTCTGTATGGTCTTGACACAGTACGTAAGGGCCGCAGGCAATTGAGAAAACGCGACCACCGTTGATGGTGAGCTGGATCTGTTACTTGATCATCGTTGTAAAGATGCGGATGGCATAGTCTGTATTGGATGGTCTTAGGTAGTAGGGAAAGGGATGTAGTAGAAAGGGTAGTTAAAGGTATGAGCTAAGTGCGGCTGGTGGAAATGACAGCCATTCTGTCAAATGACCACCATACTAATAGTAATATGATAAGAGAAGCATATTTGGGCCATGCTGTGACCATATTTTCAGCAAAGTACTCTGTACGTTATAGATAATGGGGTTTTATTGAATCACGGACGACTAAGCTGTGTATCCTTGTACTCTCTACGTCGTAAGCAATCCTACCGCCAGGCTACTCTAAGCGCACTTTGATGGCTCCCCTAGCATTATTCTGAGAGGGTCTCTTCCTGCTATGTACTACTTACTCGGTGCCGCCAAGAAGCCTCCGCTACTAGAGTGAGATAAGCTTTCATAAGTAATGGCCGTCGCGTGCCTGCTACAGACGCTTAGAGCTGTCAATAATTAATAACTAATAACTATCTGCCAGCGCTGGCAGAGACTTTCCGGCGGCACTGAATACGATACGGTGTATTGGCCAAAACATGCTGTATTAAACTTTGCGGGAAACGTTGTCCCCTGGGCTCACGGTTTCGATTACGCTAACTCCAAAGCAGAAAAAAAAAGGTGACAAGCTCTTGCTGTCTTCGCGCTCGTGAACGCAGTCTGTATGAACGTAGCGACCTCCATTCAATGTTGACCTGCCACTCCTGCCTCAGACGAAGCATCCGTTCTCTTGTCATCCTTGATCTGCAAAGTGCACATCCTGATGTCCTTTTACCCTCCCCAACCACGACTTCTTCGACCAGAAACCATGCCACCATCGCAAGCATCCAGAAGGGCCACCACCTCAAGCTTCTTAGACAAGCCTTTAGAAAGAAGGAGACCCCCATGAGCAGGAGCGAAAGAATTCGGGGACCAGGGCCCGTATCGCTTCGCAATCTCAGAGCAAAAGAATTCAACAAGCATCACCTTGACATCAGAAAGCCAGACGATACCACTAAGGTTTTGTCCAAGTACACATCTGATACAGGTCTTCAAACGGAGCTGAAATGGACAGGTGGGGATGCTTTGAAGCTGGCACAGGCGGTCTTGGACAAGCTCAAAGCTGGCATTCCATTACAGGCGTTGGAGATGGTTAGATTAAGCGAGAAGATACCAGGCGCTGATGGGAGCAAGGGCGTCGATAGTGTTGTCAGCTGGAATCATATCATGGACTACTACATGAGCAAAAGCTTAACGCGCGAGGCTTTCAAGGTCTTTAATGAGGCAAGTTCCGTATTGCGTACTGCGCTGGCTGGACAAGATTCGTCCAAGAACCATGCTGATGCCCAGAACAGATGAAGAAAAGAGGACATAAACCAGATGCACACACCTACACGATAATGCTACGTGGTTTCACGATGCATCACAGGAAACCACACGCAGTGGAAGATGCAATGAAGGTCTACGATTCGATATTCCGGCCCGAGTCGAATATCAAACCTAGTATCATACACAGCAATGCGATAATCAACTGTCTGGGCCGAGCTTTGAATATGGATGCTCTTTGGTCCGTGGCAGGTCGTTTACCAGATCGAGGTCCCGGCTCAGCGGATAAATGGACCTACACCACTATCCTCAACACCATGCAGGCATGTGCCATTAGGGATGCTGGGCAGTTAGCAGAAACGGATGGAGATCAGGAGGCTGCTGCCAAGGTGATACAAAATGCGATCCGCGAGGGAAGGAAATTGTGGGAGGACGTCATCAGTCGGTGGAGGTCAGGTGAGGTGAACATCGACCAGACCTTGGTCTGTGCCATGGGACGGTTGCTACTGCTTGGACAGAGGCAGGACTGGGATGATATTTTCTCTCTGGTGCAGCAGACAATGGGCTTGCCTCGAGTGACGCCACCAATGGTCAATCGGCATAAGGAGAACACTCAACCATTGCAAGATGCGCTAGCTTTGCCCCCGCCAGAGGCAGACGATGCATCGCCTGATCTTGAGCAGCTGGAGCTGGCTGTTGCGGACGAAGCGGCCCACAAAGTCAAGAATGAATTTGCGGTTGTCGACTTGTCGCATCGACAGATGGGAGGAAGGGATGGCGCCGATACGACATCGCCGTATGCGAATGTGGCCAACAACGTGCTTTCTCTGCTGATCGAGGCTGCCATCAAGCTCAAGCAGATACCGGTGGGCAAACAATATTGGGCCAAGCTCACACATCCGGATAACGAGCCTTTTGTTATGCCCGACGACGACAACCTCCACTCATACCTACGTCTTCTGCGCATGTCTCGGTCCAGCAAAGAAATCTGCGATCTGCTTCGCCATCCAGTCAATGGTGCTCTGGAGGGTGTTTGGTACCGACGGGGTACCTTTGTGATCGCCATGTCAACTTGTGCAAGGGACTTCAAGAATCCAAACGTCTTCACATATGCGTCAACGATCCTCGATCTCATGCAGAGCAAGCTGAGCAAACCGGATCTTAAGATTATGACCATGTATCTATCTCTAGCGATGGTTACCACACCTGGCATATCATCCGAGATTGAAGGCGAATTCAATGCGGAGCCCGGGGCAAACAACCTCATCAAAGCAGTTCGCCGTTTCACTTATTCTGATTTGGATTACAGAGCCATTGTGAGCGAGTGGGCTGGGGATGATGGAGAGGGGAGAAACGAGGACGAAGATGAGGCTGACGAGAAGCTCTTCGTGGGTCGTTCGCGCTCTCCACATCGCAGTAACAAGTTTGACAACAAAGAACCACGGTCTCCACCAGAAGATCTTCTCGAATTCATGCAGACCCTTAACAGCGCTTATGACAAGCTTCTCAATTACAGACTAAAAATGACGGAGAAATTGGCCACAGCCTTCACCTGTCAAAAAAGAGAGGTCAGCCAAGCACTTCAGAAGCTCCATCCAGAGGCCGTATCTCCTTCACGCTTGAAATCTGATAGTGAAGCGTTCGAAGACACTTTCAAGGAGCAGGGTGCAGTGTTTAGATCCAAAAGGTATCCGGACAAGCTGGGCCGGAGCAGTGATCAGAAGATCAGAGGACCGAGGGTGGTGGATTTGGAGAAGCGGCACCCTTTCCGGAGGGATTTGGAAGAGAGTGAGGGAGGAAATACTCGAGATGACCGGCGATCAGAACGAGGTCCCCGGCATCGTGGTCGAGAAGAGCGGTGGCAAGAGCAAAGTCATAGATCTGGACAAGATGCTAGAGAGAACCATTGGCCAAAAGGAGGTTCGCGGCCGCCCATGTCATCCAGGGGTGCTCGAGAGGACGAAGGGACGGGACGATTTCCACAGTTTTCTATGTCATACGGTGGCTATCAAGAGGATCGACCGCCGGGACGCGGTTCCGCGTATCCAAGGTCATCTAGGGACAGCCCAGGAGACCGACGGCGTGAACGAGCTTCGGGTCCTCCTATGTTCCGCAGAAATAATCGAGAAGACCGACGGCCAGAACGAGGTTCGCCGCGGCATGGCTTGTTCAAAGGAAGTGGTGATGAGCGGAGGCCGTATCGAGGCTCGGATTCTCCCATGTCACACAGAGATGATCGGGCGAGTCGACGGCCGGAACGAGACTCGGGTTTCTCACGGGGAGACCCGGGTTTCTCACGAAAAGACAACCGAGACAACCGACCGGCAAGACAGAGTTTTGATTCATCTCCAGTGTCTGAAGGGTGGAGCAAGGCGTGGAAGCAGTCTGTCGAAAAGTCAGGAGAGGAGGGGAGCAGGAAGGATTGGGTGGTTCTATGAGGGCGTGGAGTGCGGGTGTCACTACAGGAGTTACGGCTCAGCTGGTGTATATTAGTATTGGGATTCCCTACAGGCTTTCAGCGGGGAGATGTTCTCTCGCCCTGAGTCTTGGGGACAGAGGGCTGTGTTGTGTTGTGTTGTGTTGTGTTCTATTAGTCTTCACCTCGGCAGACTCTGCCCTTGTACACTTGTCAACTCCCGCTGAGCGGCATAGACATGCTATTGAAGTGAGAGCCGCTTTACATTCTCTGGCATCCAGCACTCTGGCATCCAGCACTCTGGCATCCAGCAATCTGCCACGGCGTGATTGAATCTCCCAATTCGGAGCCACAGTGAGCCTCGGATCCAATTACCAGGGCAATCCACCAGGGCAACCCACCACCATAAGCTACCTAACTACTACGTACTCTAAGATGTAGCCGTCTCCCCCCCTCCGACGTCCCCCACAACAAGCTTCACGAGCGTTCTTGCACCACCTGGCACGCTCGCTGTCTGCAATCCCTCCGTGGAGACATGCGCAATGGAGCAATACCGCTGAGTCGACGCATTGCTGCGACGCAAGCAGGTCGTCCGCCACGCCAAATCAAGCTTCATCTGCTGCAGCTGCGGTGGTCTTCCACCACGGTAGGGAGCAGATCATGGTCTACACCACTTGCGAAGACCATCGCTGAAGCCATCGAGGTTTGGCCCCCTACCACCTTTCTAGCATCAAGCCCCACGGATACCATTACAGGAACCAGCTAATCGGACCCTTGCCCTCTCAGGCCACAGGCCCCATCTCTATCGCAGCATACATGCGACAATGCCTCACCTCGCCTCAAGGCGGTTATTACACCACCACCCGCGCCGAGACGTCATCAGACCAATTCGGCAGCAAAGGCGACTTCATCACCTCGCCGGAAATATGCCAGGTGTTTGGTGAGCTGGTCGCCATATGGTTCGTTACAGAATGGATGGCGCAGGGAAGGCGGAGGGGTGGCGTGCAGCTCATTGAAGTTGGCCCGGGGAGAGGTACGCTGATGGATGACATGCTAAGGACGATTGCTACGTTCAAGGAGTTGGCGGCGAGCATTGAAGGGGTGTATCTGGTTGAGGCGGGAGACGGGCTGAGGGAGAAGCAGAGGCGGGTGCTGTGTGGGGACAATCAAGAGATGGTCAAGACGCAGATGGGCTGGAGGTGTGTGAGCAGGTATGAGGGAATCCCCGTGTTTTGGGTGCAAGATATCAATTTGCTCCCAAAGGACGAGGAGAAGGCGAAGATGCCGTTCATCATTGCGCATGAATTCTTCGATGCGCTGCCGATTCACGCTTTTGAATCGCAGCACCCAGCATCAGAGACGGAGGCAAAGACATCATCATCACTCGTCGACTCGGCCGGCAAGCGTCTTCTGGCTCCAACCCGTCGTTCCACCTCGACATCTGTTCCATCTTCATCATCAACCACCCCCAGGACAAACAACCAATGGCGCGAACTCCTAGTCACACCGACCCCTAAGCCCTCATCAGCCTCGCCACTCTCCACCCAGGCAGAAATAGATTCAACTCCCGAATTCCAACTCGCGCTCTCCAAAACCTCAACCCGCTCCTCCCTTCTCCTCCCCGAATCCTCTCCCCGCTATCAAGCCCTCAAATCCCAGGCCGGGTCCTCGATAGAAATCTCCCCGGACTCACTCCGCTACATCGCCGACTTTGCCCGACGCATAGGTGGCGAAAAGAGAGCGCCCAACAACGTGAACAGATCGGAACGAACCACCACCCCCATCACCTCTCCACCACCCGGGAGTAAGATTTCTAGTGGTGCAGCATTGATAATCGACTACGGCCCCTCCTCCACCGTTCCGCTGAACAGTCTGAGGGGAATCAAGAATCACAAACGCGTTTCTCCGTTCAGTGAGCCCGGGTTGGTGGATCTGAGCGCAGATGTGGATTTTACTGCGCTGGCGGAAGGGGCGGTGCAGGCGAGTGGAGGAGTGGAGGTGTGGGGACCGGTGGAGCAGGGGGACTTCCTTGGGGCGTTGGGCGGTGCGGAGAGGGTTGGGATGTTGATTCAAGGGCTTGAGAAGGGGGTGGATGTGGGGAGAAGTGGGAGGGGAGGGGGCTTAGAAGAGAAGAAGAGAGTTTTGATGGGCAGTTGGAAGAGATTGGTTGAGAAAGGTGGCGGAGGCATGGGCAGGATTTACAAGGTCTTGGCTATCTTGCCGGAGGCCGGCGGGAAGAGAGTCCCTGTCGGGTTTGGGGGTGGAGTGGAAGGGTCGTGAGACACGGTTGGATTGTGATAGCAAGAGTCGAATTCCCAACCAAAAGAAGACAGAAAAAAAGAAGAACCAGGGAGGGCATGGACAAGGAGACAGAAGAGAAAGGTAGATCAACCGATCAGTCATCCGAAAACAAGATTCCATCCTCCTCTATGCTGTCCGTGTATCCAGAATCTTAGATGTTAGATTTCACTTCTCAACCCCCAATGCCCCAGCGTACGTGCACCAGTTGATCATGAAAGACTCGTCTGAAACAATACAGAAGAGACTCCTAGTCAGATCAGTGGTCAATCATCCAGAGACTATCTTACAACATACGATTTCGCCGTCCGTTCATCCAGCCATCCGCATCCACTCAAACTGCTCAAATCCCCAAGACGCGTTCACTTTCCCGTATCCCTTGATCAACATCCTGTTTGTTCCCTGCCCGCCTCGATGGCTCTACTATTTCCGTTCCTCTGCTCCTATGTCAATCATCCCCACCTGGTAAGAACCACCACATAGGCACGTACACATCCAGCATCCAACATCTTTACACCCTTTTCCCGAGCAACGAGAAAGAAAGAAAGAAAAAACACCTCAGCTCCAGCACATTCCCGCCATGCAACAGACAGAATTCTCACCCGATCTGCAATCAGAGCCGCCAATCACAAACAACAGAACGTAAGCCAAGAAAAGCTCAAATCAATCCCCCCCCTTTTCCTCTCTCTTTCCCTTTTTTCCCCTTTTCCTCCTTTTATCAAAACGCACATAGCCGAACAGAAAGAGAGAAAAAGAGACAGTGATCTCAAAATCAACATACAGAGAATAAAATAGATAGAATGAAAAAGACAGATGACTTTCGGTTCCAAGTCAGACACAGAATAAAAGAGAAGAAGAAGAGGAGGAAGAAAGGAAGAGGGGGAGACCACATAACACGAGCAATAATATATATATAATAGATAGGCCAGTGTATCCATCAAACCCAAATAAACCCCAAATCATAACCCCCCATCTGATCTACCCCCATCTAAATCCGCAGAGGGCAGATGTTAGTTAGTAGGTAAGCAATGTTTTTGTTAACCAGGAGGACTGACTTCTCAAGGATTTTTTCATCTCAAGAAACCGGAGTCCGCCAAGACCTTTTATCAAAAGATTAACGAAGTAAATCTTTAAAAGATTTTTCCAACCCCTTTCTGCCAAGACCCTTTTTTTTTCATGGGAATGATTTCCCAAATCCCCCCCCAAAAAAGTCCTTGATTTGATTTAACAAAAGCACGGCGGATGTTGGTTTTGTTTTTGCCCTGCCCAGCATTTGATTTGATTTGATTTATTGGGACTCGATTGGGACTCAAAATGGGAACGAAACACGCTGAATACAGCGCTCTCGACTCGACTCTGCGCTGCTCTATGCTGCACTACACTGCGCTGCTCTGCTCTGCCATCTTGGCCCCCAAGTCACGTCACTGGGGAACACCCTAAGTTAAGTTAGATGAATAGAACTACTGCGCACTCAAGTTGGCCTCGATCCCCAAGCCGGTCGGCGGCGGGCGGCGGAGTCGTATTATTGGCCTCGTCCCGAACGTGGCCAGTGGCCCAGAGGTCCCGTCAGCCTTTGCTGTGCGTGCATTACGGACCTTATTAGGCGTGGTATTATTTAGGGGAATTGCTGACGCGGCTCGATGTCTGTCCCCGTCATCCTCGTCTTCGTCCTCAAATAGAAACAATTCTTAGAGGCATTGTACATCATAAAGATCCGAGGAACGGTATGATAAAATGTAAGTTAGTCAGAAACCTGCTAATTCTACTGGTAGAAATGATTGGCAATCTAGATCTTAAAATGTTAGGGTCAACTCTGTCACGTGTCACGTTGGAAGCAGGCGACGAGTGCGCGAGATCTTCAGCCCATGTTGAGTGCTATCCTAAGACTGCAGAGCCGACGAGGATGGCACTGGGGTCGCTCCTATATAGCGAGCATGCCCCTTACTAACGCGTAGTGCCAATCAATACCCGGCGGCCCTAGCGCTAGCGGCCGACAAGCATGGCAGCCGTGACAAACTCTAAAGATGACGATTCTTACTTCTTCCCCCCCAAAAAGGTCTTATATATCCCGAAATCGGTGTTGGAAGAATCAGAACTCAAATCTATTCACTTGGTCCTCATGAGCTGTTTTCTATTTAAGGAAACGTCGCCAGCAACTCCGCGCCACAAACGGCCTAGGTTTTTTTTTTATCTTTTTTCGCAAGGGGGTCTATATTGTATATAATAAAAACCCCGGAATGATCCGATATTTCTGCATCTACATCATCAACAACCACAGACCCCAATCATAGACTGACCTAACCACACTCGCCTACGCACCAACCGACCCCACATGACGAGGCCGAGACCAGCTCTCCCTCCTCGCTTCTAACACCAGGAATAATTCATCCGTGCTGGATCTTCCGCCCTGGGTCGCGGACTCCGAGGACGATGCCACCCCAACCTGCCCTCCCCCACCAGGCACAACTGTCCTCGCAGCCGAAACCGGGTCGAGGCCGCTGTCCTCCCACAACCTCCTCTGCAGCTCCTGCATCATGACCCGTCTCCTCTCAGCGATGACCTCGAACCACTTCCGCTCTGCCAGTACCGTCTTTTTCAAGGTAATGCCGCTTTCCCGGAACTTGTGGTTCTGAATCACAGATTGGACCTCGTATCCCAGCACGAGCGCCTTGCGCTCCACCGCCACATTTTCCGCAAGACCGGTTGTCTCGGCCTTTTGCGAGCAAACCAATATATCCATTTCCACTTTCTGGCGCTGCCGGAGTTTATCGAGAACCGTGTTGAGCCGTGACTCCTGATTCGGCTTGCCCCGGAGATGCGTCTGCATCGATAGGAAAGTGTCGTCTTCTTCCGCTTCGTGTTCCGAGGTCAGTTTGCTAACCGCTGCCATGTGTGCTGATTGAAGTATATTCCGTCGCAGCGTGGAGTTGGAGTCGAGCTTCATATGTAGGCTGTCTGATTCGGCCTTTTGGACCGCCCGTTCGTGCTCTGCTTCCTCGATGATGCTGGTAATCTCGCTGTTGTGGCGAGAGATGAGGCTCGATTGTTGGAATTGCTGAATCTCTAGCAGTGCGCCTTGAAGGTAATCGAACCGTTCCGTGAGGGATTTGCGAATAGCTTGTTCACGTCGTCTGGTAGCCTCTTCTTGCTCTATTCTCCTCTTTTCGGCTTCCAGACGTTCAAGATGTTGCCTCCTCCTGCGCTCCTTAGCTTCCGAAGTCCGTTGATATTCTTCCCTTCTTTGCCGCTCCTCTGCCTCGCGACGCTCCATCTCCTCAATCGCGGAGACGGCCCGAGCGAGATCCTCCTCCTCTTCCCGAGAAAGCACATCGCGAGCAACCCGGCGTGCGGTCGCTGCATGAACAGGTACGCCATTTGGCGCCGCAGGTGTAGCAGAATTGCGCTCCACATTTGCAGGTTATGTGCCTGCAACCGGTGGTGAGTTCGACCAGAGCGCGACATTTGTGACATCTTCTCCAGCCCTGACGTTCTGCTTCCTCGAGGGTGGCTTCTAGTCCAAAGTCCTCCGGACAGTCAGCGCCTGCTGCATGTGCCGCGCCACGACAATACCCGCATATCCTTGTGTCACAACTGGGACATTTAGCACCCCCGGCCCGCAATCTGTGTAGTTTGCTGGGAGGGATCCATTTCTGACATTTCGGGTCAGGACAGTACCACCGATTTTCGGGCTTTAAAGTATATTCGGCGGCCTTGGATTTGTAGAGTTCCTTCTGTACTTTGTCAAGGGTGCTGAGGATGTCTTTGATCGGAATCTCTACCAGACAGCATTTTGGAGGAAACATCGATTCGGTCTGTACGGCAGTGGTGATCAAGGTTGTGATGCACTCCCGACAATATGAATGCTTGCATTCGAGCTTGTACATCTTTCTAGTGGGCAGATCCTCCAAGCATGACGCGCACTCAGATTTGCTAAAGGGCAGATGTTACCACTTTGGTAATCCTGGTGGACGGGAGAATACTCACAAGGATCTGACCGCTCTGGGTGACCTTTCGTACGTAGCACTCTTCCCTATTGAGGGACGATCCTTCATAGCCTGCTTCATAGGTCCAATGATATTTGTCCTTGATGATAGGAGCGCAGAGAATATGGACTTGTTCGATCCAGATCTAGCACCGTCGACACTGCCATTGGTAGTTGGACTTGTACTCAAAGATGATGAGGTGGTTGATGTAGACGGGCTGTGGCTCATGTCAGAGGGACTGCCTACCGGTGTGACTTGAAGTGCTCCCCTGCTGTCGGGAATCTCCTCTACGTAAGGGTCACTGGGAGGCTCTTCTGATGCCTGGGGCATTTCAGACACAGGGACGGCATCCTCTGGTATATTGAGCGAATTGAGCACTATATCCCGTATTGGAGGAGGTGTCTGTCCTTCGTCGAGCAGGAGGTAGAGCTCTTGCGGTGGGTGATGCTGTTCGTGATCAATATCGACAGCGTTATCATCATCACCTTCTTCTTCTGCGACGAGAGATACTGCCATCTCTAGCCAAGGTGATACTAAAGGATCTTCTGCATCTGGCGCAGCTCCACTCACAAAAATGGACACTTGACATTTTGGAGGCTTGTCACCCTCTTCCATCAATGAATCTTCCACGGGGTCCTCAGAAGTGACAAGAAGATAGACGGCGAGTAGAATGGAGAACAGTGATATAATAGCTTGCTCGAAAGGTGTCCGAGGTAGGAGAATATTCAATATCAGAACAGATTTAAACAGGCAGACACCCAAGAACATCGACGGCATAGCCATTCAGGCATGCACACATGCACATGGCACATTCCAGTCTGTCCAAGATATACTGCATCGTGTGCCCTTTTAGCTGTGAGGCTCCTTGAGAAGCTGATTGTTGCTGCCTTGCCGGATGGAGTGGGTGGAGCTTGGGATCTGAGCCATCGATCTATGGCTGGTATGCTGACCTAGTCACACGCCGTCGTGGGTAAAGCTTGGAGGTGGTCGAGGCAGATTGAACCTAACCTTGCTAAATGTGTCAGTGCTCCTGTTGGGCTGTGTTGTGTCTGGTTGGCCAAACGCTGTTTCGCCGCCAATCACGAGGTGGACGAAGAGCATGCGAGTGGACGATGGACCGGGGCCAGACCCGATTGAAATCGATGATAGAGCAGCCGGGCATGTTTCGAAAATCGGGCCTGACTCCAATTATCGAGCAGAGGTGGGTCAAAGAAAAGGCTGCGAACCGATGGATTGGGGGCGGTCAAGAAGGCGGCCTCGCAAGGCTATAATTAACTAAGGACAGGCTCGACACCATCCGACCCCGGCCTATAGCAGTCCATGTGGCCTTACAGACCACTACACAAAAGTTGGTACATAAACATCTTAACAGCCTTCTGTCCCTTCGAGTTAAGCATACGACTTGAGCATACGGGCGTGGTGAGAGCAAAGGCCATATATCAGAATGGTCGGCGGAGGGTGACTACGATTCACAGGTATATTCCATAACAGTCAGTGAGCCGATCCTCTCCTCCAGCTCGAAAGACAACAAGTAGGCGGTAGATGTTGGAACAGGTGTTGATTGATCAGGACCCCTCCTCCTTTTCAATCAGCCGCCTTGGTCTGATCCGCCCAACTGGGTTCCACGCTTCGACAAACAGCCTCATAGTCCCTGAATCTTTCTCCAACCCCAGCCTCCACTCCCTCAGTTGTCCAAAACATTGTCCAATTCGTGTCAGGAATTTTCCATGTTCCCCTTGCCCGCTCGAAGTACCACTTGTTGACTGGGTTGTCTCTCCTGCTTCGCCAACAAACGCCATTAGGAAAGCAACCACGCACCATTGCATTGAAGACGATATCCGCCACACCACCGGCGCCTTGGCTGCGCTTCAGAACAGCAAACTTATCCAAATATGGAACCTGACGCGACACATTGGAGGGTGATGCCCCAGGAGGAGTCTCCCACGTGAAGAGGGCACCTCCTTCATACTCGCCGGCTATTACTAGACCAGCAATACGGCCGTTAACGCGGGTGAGATAATGTTCCACATCGAGTTTGCGATTGAACGAGTCGTCGATTAGGTGGACAAGCCGACAGAGATCGATTCTCGCATCTGTCAGCCTTAGTTTCCGCTCGCCCTGGTTATCGGGCGTCCACGGAGTCATCCGGGGGTCGGGGATCATCGTTAGTGGCATGCCTCTTTTTACAAAGGTCGATGTTGCCAAATTTGAGGGTATCTTCTCAGAATTGTTGGATCGGCCCAGTCGACCCATCGGTAGGGAAGCTGAAAATGCTGGTTTGTCGGTGAGAAGATTGTGAATTAGAGGGTTCCTTTGCGTTCGTGTGCCCACAGCAGAAATAGAGGGTTCCTGGCGGCTGCTTTTGCTCGATTTCGCTGCTTCGAGCGGCGTTGTCACTATTGCTGATGATGTTGACGGTAAGTAAGCCAAAACGGCCCTTAGGAGTTCGAGATTCTCTAAGTGACGCGTGTATTCGGACCGCGCAGATTTAGTATTATCCGGCCGTGAAGGACCCGGAGTTGCGACGAAGTCATCCTGTGCAACTTTGTCTCGGTTGGTCTCAAGAGACATGGGGTGCAGATCGCTTATGGAGGGAGAAATGGTTTCGTCCTGTAAAGAAGTAGGTCGGCCAGAAGACGGTTCTATAGCCTTTGCATGAGCTAGCAATTCCTTTCGCACATCGTCGTATTCCTGCTCCATGTTTAGGAAGACATGAATTGATCCATGCAGTGCTGGATGAGGAATGCCACCCTGGGGGTCGAGAATGATGAACCTGTCCAATGATGTTTGTTTTTGGAGTGCCTCCAGTCGCTGTGTCATGCTTGTTAGGTCTTCATCTTGCATTGGCTGAACATTCAGCCCAGCAAATTCGCGGGTCAAAGCCAGAGTTGCTTGATGTGCACTGATGGGAGTCATCGTTTGTGTCTGGCAGGAGAAAGCCAGAGGCAAGATGATAGGGATGAGCCTGCTTCTGATTGGCGCCATAAGCAGTCTTCTGGAGAAGATCCCTGGCGGACTGGTAGCATCTGACAGACTATAAACGTGGTCCAATATCCGCGCCGATGCAGCAGAGGTCTTGTAAATAGCTTTTTCCAGCCGTTCGGCTTGATGCACCATTTGTTGCCGCCATGATGGTTGTACGGCTTCATTGCTCGATGAGCTAAAGTCAAGAACGACACATGGGGTGATACTCAGGCGACACAGTTGGGACAAGGTCAGGCCGATCCCCTGCAGCACCGAATCATCGAGGTTCGGGACATCAACAATATTCACCAGCGCTAGATGATGTGCCTGTTCCTGGTTTGTTGCTGCAGCACTTTCGGATTTTTGGTACTGGCTGAACTTGGGACTTTGTCCCACGGCCGTTGCATGCCCGAAAAAGGTACCAAGGTTAACCTCTGGGCGTGCGATCTGACTCTCGGGGTTGAAGGAGGTTTTGGTGTGGGAGCCGTTGTCCTTGCGTTCCAATGGAGTAGTTTGGAGTCGAGTGATGTAGGCTTTTGCGTCCCGCTTGGTGGCAGCGGAGCTCAACAAGTCAATGAAGAACTCCTGTAGGAATGAGCAAGTGCTTCCGGTGGAAGAGCTGTATACTATACTCTATCCGCTTGCTTATCCCTGGCTTTCTGCGCCAGTTGACCCTGTACCCGACTCTGAACTTGTGACTTGCTTTGCGTCCTGGATGCAGTAATATGTTCATTCGAGAAGCATCGTCTTCTGCAGGAACAACTTTTGGTCCGGGAGGGTCTCACTTCTGACTGTTGTAGCCACCCAGTCAGCCATCGCATTTTCCGATCATAGTTGATCATAGCTAAGCATACCTTTGAGCCCGTGAAATTCACAATGCCAGACCATGTCAGTCCCCTCTGGCTCATCTTTCCTCTCGAACAAAGAAGGATGAAGGATAGCAGGGATATGAATGCATGTTTTGCAGGACAGCAACCGATAAGAGTCTATTTGACGTGTGATTCAATCATTTTTTTAGGCAGCACATGCATGTTGTCAATGCTTACCATCTACCCCATCCGGCCTGCGAGTCAATGGCACTGGTAGCACTGGTGGCGCCCTGCATGTTTCCCCGCATTCTGGGGCACATGTGGTCTGAATGGTCGTTTACAGAGTAACTTACAGCCCCGCGCGAAAGTATCCGACCAAAACGCATCATTTTCGAACACGCTTTTTTTTACACCCTTTTTCAAAGAACTACCATGGCTCAACGCAAGGCTCTGGCGCCTCTTGAAATTAATAGGAGCTATGGCAAGGAGTTATCTCCATACCAACGAGGTCAAATTTCAGCGTACAAAGCTATGGGGTTGACAAATCAAAAGATTGGAGAAAATTTGCAATGTAGCAAAACCACCATTTTTGACACCCTTGTTCAAAATCCACTGCGCAACCAAGGCAAAAGCTTGCCTCGTTCAGGACGCCCCCAGACCTTGAATAGAGTTCAAAAACGCAATATTCTACGTCTTATTCGTATTAATCCGAAGGCTACTTATCAAGAAATCAAGTCTGAAGTTGGAATTAGTGTCTATCGAAAGACTATTTATCGAATCCTTAAAGATAAAGGCATTACTAATTAGTTAGCTAAAAAAAGACCTTTATTAACTCCTTAATTAGCTACTAAACGACTTGTATAATATCAAGAACGACGAAATTAGACGTGGGCTAAATAAAGTAAGATTATCTTTAGTAATAAATGTTTGCTTAAAAGAGGCATTAGGGCGTGTCAAACATAGGCCTTTTGTATATTATAATAACGTTAGAATTCTGATATGATTAATATATATAAGAAGGGCAAAGATATTAATGTTATAATATAGGGTGTAATTCATAAAGAAGGTCGTTCAGATATTGTGTTATTAGAGCGTGATCCTGATTCAGAGAAGTCAGGATACACTGCCAACTCTTATCTGGCAGTGCTTCGTGAGCAGATGCCTCGGATATACGAACCAGGGCGCAAATTCATGCAAGATAACGCCCGAATCCATACTGCGAAGAAGATTATCAATTGGCTTCAAGAGGAGGGCATAGAATTGATGGAATGGCCAGCCTATAGTCCTGATCTCAACCCAATCGAACATCTCTGGGCGCAACTCAAGCAATGGATCAATGATCACCACCCAGAGCTAATTAATATGGGAAAATCAGAAGAGGACTATCAACGATTGTTCAGAGCTATTTATAAGGGTTGGGATGTCATAGGAGAAGAAGCTGTGGCCAATCTTGTCAAGAGCATGGATAGTCGAGTGAATGCGGTCATTGCGGCCAAAGGATGGTACACCAGATTCTGAATATTGACTGCCTATTTAGGAAATTAGGCCAGCCTCAATCTCTGAATATCAGCGAACATTTTGAGCTATTTCTCATTAAAATTAGCTATTTCTCATTAGAATCCAAAGAGTTCATAACTTACTATGGTAATTTGTATGAAGAGAGTTGATAATGTTGGTGGGGTCTGAAAGTGGGGTTGGTCGGATACTTTTGTCCTAGTACTGTACTCACAATGCTGGAGAATTCTTAGCAACACCTTGCCGAAGGGTTTTCGGATTAGCAGGAAGAGACCCACCGAAAGTTATGTCTAATTATCCATCAATGTGTACTTAGCTGAGGTTATCATATGCAAATGATTCAGTAGATCGGATGCGTACGATGCGAAGAAACATTGTATATGGGCACCACTGTACCACTAGTTGCGTACGTAGCAAGTGCCGGTGGGCTTCTTGCGTGTAGCTGATTTTAGCGCAGCAGGAGATGACTATGAAAGACTGAAGGCTGTTGAAGTTGTCATTTAGAAGGCCGCCACGACAGCTGCTACTAGGAGTTATCTCCGCTCAGGTTGTGTGTTCAATGGGAAGCCACCACTCTGTACTACTCGAGTAGTTAGGTACTGTATAGCTCAACTTCCATCTAAAACCCCGATACGGCCCGGAGGACCGTCCTACGTCTACATTTGGCAAGTAAATCTCGAAGCTGTTGTTCCGCAGTAATATCTATCGTCTAAGACCCTCATAACTCATAACTCCGATTTTGCAGTCTTTAGCAGAGTAGGGTGCGCTCAATGGCACTACAACTGGCCTGGATCGGCCTGGGTAACATGGGCAGGGTAAGCTTTTCCCAACCGTCGATCCTCTTCGGACAACGCTAAGTTCCCACGTAAAATGTAGGGTATGTGTAAGAACCTCGTCCGAAAAGGCCATCTCTCCAAACCACTTCTACTATACAACCGCACCACGTCCCGCGCCTCAGACGTTTCCTCCGAGATCGGCCATTCCGCCGTAGCCACCTCGATCGAGGACGCTGTTTCAAAATCCGATATAATCTTCCTGTGCCTGGGCCACGACATCGCCGTTCAAGACACTCTCACACAAGCCACGCAGGGCGATGTCAAGGGCAAGCTCTTCGTTGACTGCTCCACCGTTCACCCAGAAACAACGGATAAGGTCGCGAAAGCCGTAGAGGCAAAAGGCGCATATTTCGTTGCTTGCCCTGTTTTCGGCGCGCCTGCAATGGCTGATGCGGGACAGCTTGTTTGTGTGCTTGCTGGACTTCAAGAGCAGGTCGACAAGGTGAAACCGTATTGTGAGGGTGTGATGGGGAGAACAGTGATCGATTATAGCGGATCGGCGCCTGGTAAAGCGACATTGCTAAAGGTGATTGGCAACACATTTATACTGAGTATGGTCGAGACGATCTCGGAGGGACATGTCGTGGCCGAGAAGACGGGTTTGGGTGTTGACGGTTTACATCAGTTCATTGAGACGATGTTCCCAGGTCCTTATACCGCATACTCCAACCGAATGAGATCTGGCGATTATTACCAGCGAGAGGACCCACTCTTCTCAGCGACCCTGGCTCGAAAAGATGCCGGTCACGCAATGGCTCTGGCGGAGAAGGCGGGAGTGCATATGAAGAATGTCCAGCTGGCCGATGAGTATCTGAAAGATGTACAGGATCATATGGGGAACAAAGGTGATATAGCAGGGATCTATGGGGCGAAAAGAGTAGAAGCGGGCCTGACTTTCGAGAATAAGAGCTGAGATGACCATTGAGGCGTTGTGTTGTGTTGCGACAGGGACGCGGGTGAGACATCAGAGCAGTCGGGTATCGTAGTCGACGTCAGAGCCTAGTCCCACGTGGACCGTAGGGCCTTCCTCATCGATGCTGCATGCTGCCAGGTAGGCTCCCATGGTGAAGCTTGGAAGGGACATTCGACTGCTCTCAACGTCGTCCTTAGATACCGAGACCTCCTCGAGCGTCATGGCCTTAGCTGACGGGCTGGTATAGCTTAGTTCTAGTAATGAAAGCTGTGGATCATCAACACAGGCCGTTGCACAGATACACGATCTTCAGCAGCCTACCGCAATAGGTGTCCCTGCGCAACGGCAAATTGTAGCATGATAACTTACATGACTGAGCAGTACTTGGAGCGTCTCTGTCAGTAACCGCTAACGGCAATCTAGCTACTAATGAGCAGGCTGGCTCTGCTCCTTTTCATGGCAGTAAGGACCAGACGTTTAGCAAGAGCATGCACAACGTCATGTATGATGCAACTCAAAAGGCTTCATACCACGCCTTACAGTCGTCCTGTTGCTCGAACAAGGCCTCGATCGCTCGTCCAGCCTGGCCGTGATCATCCCACTTTCCGAGCTCGCGCAACAATTGTACAAGGTCAACCCTAGCACCGACTGTGTAAGGGTGCTTTCGACCAAGCATTTTCACTCTGCCTCTGAGAACATCCCAGTACAAGCTCTCCATTTGGGGCTTGTCATTAACCTTTTCATACAGCAGCGCAAGCCGTCTCTTCGATTCTAGTCGATACGGATGGCTTGGCCCAATCGTGTTCTTGCTTCTCTCAATAGCTTCTTGCATTGTCTCGATGGCAGCGGCATTCTTGTTCTGGTTGCTCAGAACCCGACTGAGGCTGGTAAGGGCGGTAATGGTTTGCATATGCGACAGGCCCAGTACCTGGCACGATGTCTGATACAGACGTCTCAGATTGCTTTCGGCTTCATCCCAGGCACCGTCGATGATCAGGTTCCAGGAAAGGTTGTAAAGTGCTGTGATGGAGTGTGGATGGCTGCCACCCAACTGCTCTGTAAAGTCCTGGCACACACGACGAAGCGCACTTGCGTCGAGGCCCGGCTGCGGCAGCTTCTGTCCGGCAGCTGCTGTCATCCATGCGATGGTGATGGTTATTGGATTCCTGCAGCCAAGCATATTGCTGGCTACCTTCAAAGCGGAACCCACAATTGATTCGACTATGCTCCCTTGGTCATGGACATGGAGAATGGAGAGAATGAGGTGCAGACTTGTCAGGGTGAGAGGGTTGTCCGTTTCCAACATGTTTTTAACCTCGCTCTCGGCATCGAACAAACTCTGCTGGGCGAAGTTTGAGGTCCCTTGAGTCATGTAAATACATGCTGAGAAGCACCGTACCACCCATTTCAGTGCGGCAGCCTGGTGTTCGCTGGTAAATACAGGTATCAGCTGAGAGGAAGTGGGTGTTGTCGCATTTGAAAAACTGTTTACATGGACATAGTCATCAAGAGTGTTCAAGTGGCTAAATAGAGACTGATTGCACTGGGAGCAGTTTAGTATGGGACTATGATCCGCGTCGTTAAGGAGATTTGTCAGGAACACCCACGAATCGAGATCTTCAAAATTGCATTGCGGTGCAGCGGACGGGACCAGGGCTTGTTGTGCCATCCGATTTAGTTGACTTTGGATATGCTGGCAAGGCGTAGCCAATGGAGACGAGAGGTTTAGTGCAGGCCGCGACGGTGATGTAACCATGATTCCGTTAGTAGATCGCGACGGCTGCTGCTGATTCAATATTTGGGCTTCAGCTCGACCTGCGGTCTGTGACACTGCTTCCGATAATGGAATCTGTCCGGCCAATGGAAGAGCATCGTTATTGGGCTTATTGAGTAGACTGGTGACGGAAAGACGGGGTTTACCCAACTTGGTAGGCGACGGAAGTAGCTCGCCACTTGTAAGCGGTTCAGGCACGGACCTGCCATCACCCAGTTGGGACGCGCAGCTTGCTTCGTCAGTAACGTCTTGCTGTTCAGGTGTGTAGCAGCGAATGTATGAGGGGATTTCGATATTCAGCGCCGCCGCTAGGAACTGTTGCTCGGTCATGGACTTGCTCCTAATATGCTTACGCAGTTGTGCGAGGGTCCTCCTTCGTCCATGGATCAGGAACTCGGTGGCAGATTTACCGGACTCCCTGCGGATCTTGTGCAGTTTTGCCATAGCGCCCCAGTCGTTGTTTTTGGAGTTCTTATTCAAACCCCAAGGCCCAAGTCTGGCTTTGAACATGCGCTCCCTGGTTGAAACGAGTTAGCCGACTTCCAGTATGTTACCAGTACCATGGCTGGCCTGAGCGAGGCGTGGAAGTTGCTTTGTCATACGTAGCACGGAAATTGTATTTCGTCTCCAACTCCTGCTTTACCTCTTTGAGAGAACGTTGATCGTGCACATAGAGCTGGCGGATCACATCTTTGACAGAGTCCCATTCCTCCGCCGTGGGTCCATGGGGGTGGCGCGAGCCATATTCAGAGGCTCCAGTCGTACTTTGTTGCTGCTGCTGCTCCTGCCGGTGCAGGCTGCCAATAGCAGACTGCATTCCTTCTCCGATGTCACCAAGCACATTCCCCGCCAAGTAGAATGACGGATGAAGGTCACCGGGGACGGTGGTGAAGCCAGTTTCCCGCTGGATGTTGTTCGGAGCCGCCTCTCGCTAGCCGGCCTTCGGAGCGAGATTTTTCATGACAGGGTCCCTTACTTATCAACCTGTTGGCCCCCAATATTGACTTCCCGTGTCTCAGGCGAAAGTTCCATTTGTTGGTAGGGACAACGCTATGCCAAATAAAGGTTAAAGGAGACACGATAGACTGAACTGCTGTTGTTGCTCATCGCCGGTAGCTGCCTGTCGCTCGTATAACCAGTGAACACTATTGTCAAGGTAGGTTATACCAAGCATGGTTATTGGATGCGTTACAGCTACGCCATGTTCTCGGAGATGAAGGCGCTAAGTTAGTTAGTTCAGCTGCGTTTCTCGATGTGGACGAGCACAAAATATCACACAGTTCCGGTGCAGCGAGAGGGAATCAATAATGTAACGGAGAACATCCACCTCGGACCGGTCACAATTTTCTTAGGATAGCTATCATGTATTCAGTTTCCATTGTATTGAGTGAACCAACAGCTAAGCATAAATTCAGAAAATCAATGCGCATCATCCATCTATTCGGTATTAGGGCCCATTCTAAAGTACTCCTTTTCTCTTGCACAGCCAGCCTATCAGTAGATGCAAATGACAGCCGAAGAAATAAAGAGCTCAAGCCAAGCTGCTATGCAAAGGAAAGCGAACATGCTCTTATAACGCCTTTGCTGATTCGAGATATAGAAAAGCACCGAGACATGATCGAGCGTATGCCTTGCTCATTTCCCCTCTGTTGTGATACTAAGAACTGGTAACGACTAACCGAAGAGGCCAGAAAATGTACAGATAGTCTTTGTGCGTATTAGCTAGTGGATCAAAGTCGAAAGTGCAGCCGAGGAATGAATCTTGTTCAAGAAGAGAAGCCACCGTACACTCTCATTCCGTCTGATGCTCGGATAATTTCGACCTGTGGCATAAAGGCCGCCGAATAAATCCTCGGAATAGTCTTAGTCGATATGGTTTTGAGTAGTGCTCACAACGTTGAAAGGAGAGAGTTGCTTCAGCTTCGAGCCATTCTTTTTAACACTGAGCTTGAGTAGAAGAGTGCTAACCAGCAACGGACGGGTAACGAAAAGCGCGCTTATGAACGTCATACGGAGCATCGCCGTGTACGTGTTGGTGGGCCGGCGAAAGAAAACTGCGAACAGGCTTTCCGGCAAAGTGGTTACTCGTCACACCACATGACCATACGTTCCAGGGCCACTCGGGTGATCCGGTTTTACATCCCCGTTGCCATTGCTGCATGTGATACGTGGGTGTCGCCGCTGGGACCAGGTATGAGGAATATGTGCCGTGCGTTTTGGTAGCGTGCTGTGGCTGATCGGAAGGGTTCTGTCCACGTCTCTGCAAATGTGACTTCGTTGCACTTCATCGCATCTCCATCGTGTCCCCGGATGCTGGCGATGAATGTTTAATGGGATCGCAGGCTTCAGAATCTCCGCTGGAGAGACAATGGAAGAGCAGTCCAGATCTTGGGCTTCCATCATTGGCTCCCTGTGATAACCGCTGAATGCACAAGCTGTGGTACCCTGAAACGCAATATCAACTACCTCTCCCGGGAGACGTGGCACAACAGATCCTTTTCTCTCACTAGCAACTGAAGTCGCACAAACTTGATGAGTATGATGGGATGAGCAAGTGTACTTCAGGTATGAGCCTTGAGCTGAAGACATGCGGCCTCCATGAGTGCTACGTGAAACAGGCGCCCCAGGTCTGGCAACTACGATGTTCTGAACACGTTGAAATTTTGGTTCATGGACAGTATCGGAGATCCATGTAGGTGGAGATTCGTTCCCTGCCACGGGTAGAAACAAGGGCGAGTGGTCACACACAGCGATTCTCCCAGAAACAGTTGGACGTGACGTTTTTCTCAAGCCTTTCGGTGGAGCGCTTCGATCTAAAGGGCTTCAGCAGGGATCAGGAAGAGAAGAGAGCATGACGCAACATACCAGTTAGATATCTGTTCTGGCCTCTGCGCCCAGTCTCTACTCGATCGGGTGTGGGATCCGTATAACATGCCTAGATGCAACGATGAGCCTCTGACCTCTCCGCACCAATCACGAGGAATATACAGCCACTGCAAGTGTTTGTGACATCGACTCAGGAATTTGATTTGCGGCACTCTGTTCTCCTGGCAGGATTTTGGAAGACATCGAGAGGGAAATCTTACATTTTGTTGTCTCACGCCTTGCCCCACCGAGGCTGGAGTCGAGCATTGCTGATCACAGGCTAGGCCACCCATTCGGACGTCTTCGTCTAGGGTACGAATTCCCTGCAACAACGGCTGCTTCATGATATGGGCAATTGTGAAGGGCCAAATTGTTCGCCGTCTATCTTACGAAGAATATCTGGCCACCTTATAGCAAACAGCCATGAGTGCTCCATGGTGGCCTGAGATGAGGATCGCAGGTGTCCTATCTCCAGAGGTCCGACCATCGCCCGAATGGAAGGAGTGAGAAGGTCTCCCGATATCATGGAAGACGGACATGCCACAAGCACATGCAAATGTAAGACGAGTTGCGCTGCTGCGTAGAGTTTTGCAAGTTGAAGTATGAGCAATACGTCCGGCTCAGCGAATCAGCCAAAGGACCATCGGCCAAAACGGCGGCGGCATAAGCGGAAGCTTGGTGCGAGAATAGTGTTCACTCTGTGATAGGCCCGCTATCTACTTACCCCCACCTGTCCCGGTCGTACGAGGTGTCTGGCGGAAACGTGGTGCTGTCAAACCCCTTTGATAGGGGCTCGTCGGTTGGGCTGTTGCGACCACCTGGAGGTGAGAGTATATCCGCAAGTTGTGAGGCGCATCGGCCATCAACGTATGAGGCCGGGCTCAACAGTCCAACATCTGCACAACACGGCCCCCAACTGTGCTGACGACGAGTGTTTTGATTGGTGGCGTCGGGTTTCTAGAAGATTGTAGATCTAGCAACAGCCGACACTAATTTAAGGGGAATCCGTTGCTTGCGTTAGGGGTCACCGTCCGAACAAGAGTCTGCATCCCACGGTTGTGAAGACGATAACGGCCATCTGTTGCCTCCCGGGTCAAAGCCAGATTGGGACGATCGGTTGCTGGCTATCGCTTCTTCCTGCAGCTTCATCCTCCTAAAGGACAAGCGTTCAGCTCCAATACCATCCGCAAGAGGTCAGCCTCGGTTGGCGAATTAAGGATCGAGCAAATCATCTGCCCCAGAAGATCGAAACATTTCGGGTTGTTTGAGCATCGACTTTGGTGATAAACTTCCGCATTGCGTGATTCTTGCTCAAGCGAGCCGTTCTTAGACTAAGTTAGGGTCTACTACGTACGGCAAATAGAGCGTGCTCTGCAATAGCGGACGGTCTTGCAAGGTCAGATGAGATATCAATCCTTCCATGGCCCGGCGAGCTGCAGGTCCTTCGACAGCTTCAAGCCCCCATGGAGAACAAGTCCTGCAAGTCATCAGCGTGAATCGCAATTCTCCGTCGACTCCTCTATTATCTGGCTATCCGGAATTGGTTGTGACCTATTTTTAAAACTATCCGCCAACAGGGCGCAGGCTCATTGCGTTGGGGCAGTGCCACGCAAAGAAAAAGAACATCTACGGTCGCATCGGCAGTTCAGCGACCTGAAGCTTCGTGCTAACGTACTACGTAGTAAGTTACCTGCAACGAAATAGTGGAGCATCGCTTGCTCGGGACTTCAATCCCCTATCTCATGCATAAGAAACGTGGAAGGAGTATTTAAACGTGGTCATTGCTTAAGCGTGAAACACCATGTCTGATGATCTTGCATTTCGACACCTCCATCGTATTCTCCTCAATCACGGGCACAATGAGCAGACTGATTGATCAAATACTACCGAAATGCGTCATGGCTCGCTCCCACAATTGATACATTTCCCATGTGCCAGTCCTTGAGACGTGGAGCTGGAACAATTGCACAGTCTCTGCTTACTCCTTAAGAAAAGATATGAAGTGACTGAAAGTCTAAGCCAGATGAGCTTATAAGAAATGCTGCTGCAAACCCAAGACCCTTAGGATATCAGTCGTGGCAATTTGTGCTTGTGAAAAGTATTCCGACGCCGCTCTCTGTAGGAAGTGAGCTTGATCGTCACTCGGTACTAGTATGCTGCTCCCCAGTTGCGTGTTGGGAAACTCTTGGCTTGAAAGGGGCCCTTTCGCGACATGATACATGATACATGATACCATGATACGCGGGAGCGTCGATTTGCACACCTCGCTCTTCAGTACTCACCCACATATTCATCCTCTGGATGGCTCTTCTGGCCCTCAGTAAGTAATCTCATGTGATGAATGCCCTTCGCCGCGGTCTTCCATGGCCATGATGTCTGCCCGTAGTTGACTGGCCTCTTGAAGCTTGTTCCGCGCCACGAGGACGTCATGTAGATCGTCCACCGAAGCCTTGGTGATCTCCCGGCCCAGACCTAACATTTTGATCCGGCCCTTCAGCACAAACCTATAAAGCTTTTCGACCTCTGACATGTTTCTTAATTTTAGATGGATGGTGGCAAGGTTGCGGTTGAGCTCGAGATAGTACGGATGCTCTTCGTGCATCATGCGACGGCATCTGCTGATTGCAGCTTGCAGATAACGGACTGCGTCAGCTTCTCTGCCGGTGTTGGAAGTTGACAGCGTTCTCGAGATGGTGGCTAGCGTCCAGACTGTCAAAAAATGGGAGGGCCCAAGGTTCTCCTGTGATAACTGGAAGCACTCTTGTAGCTGTTTCTCTGCTTCTTTGAATCTATTGCTTTCGAGAAGACTGCATCCATGATAGTACAATGCCGTGAGCGTGTTCGAGTGAACTTTGCCCCAAGTCAGCTGAAAGGCTTTGTGAGCATGATCAAGTGCATTGGTCATGGCGCTCTTATCTCCTTGCTCACCAGAAACCGACAACAGCATGTAGCGGTAAGGCACAAGGATGGGATGGTCTCTTGAGAAAACTTTCTCTATCACCTGACAAGAGTTTTCCAAGAATTGCTGTAGAAGCTTAGTATGGTCGTGAAAATAGAGAATTGATGTCATCAATGTTAGGCCGGTAAGCAGGTATGTGTTCAAGCACTTGAGCATGCTTCTAAATACCTTTGAGGCCTCTTTCACATTCTCTTGCATGCCTTCATGATCGCCCTGGCACTCGCAAATGCATGCCTGAAAGTAGTAGACAACCCATCTGGACGCCATATCTTCGTCAGATAATTGCTCGTCAGGACTAGACCATAAGACGACGTTCCCCTCAGGAACTGAGAACGAGCTGCGAGCGGATTTAGCGTCAGTCCGATCATGGTTGAGAATCACGGTCAGCCTCTGAGAAGGTTGCTCAGAGTTCGCTATCGGTATGACTTGATTGTGCGAGCCTGACATCAGGCGGCTGATTCTAAAGGCAGCTGCTTCATCTAATGGTGGCAAGGTTTTGATGATGATTGGTCGCAGCGCGATGCTTTGTAGCTCGGGATCAGGAATCGAAGAGCAGTCGCTAAAAGCTGAGGGTGAAAGGCAACTCGGGAGATTTGTGTGAGATAAATTGCTCGGCTCAGACTCGGGGCTGAAAGAATAACTTGACGACAAGCCGGGCCAGTCTTCAGTAATGTTGTAATTTGGGCTTCGGGAGGGATAGGTATCACCATGTGCTGCGGTCAATGCCTGCGACGACGTAGTCGAGGTCATAGACAGATGTGGAGAACCTGGTGGTGTGTAGCATATGACATCTTCGACCACTTCCGCTTCTGGTCCAGCTGACAAAAATTCGTCTTCGGTCTTCTTCTTCCGCTTCAAGTGCTTTCGAATGTTCGACCAGACAATCACCTTGCCATTCACGTGAAAGGCTGAGTCTTTGCCCTCGGCTCTTCGCTGCCGAGTCACTCTCAACATGTAGCGCCATTCAGCAGCCTTGACCTTCTTCCGGTCGAAGCCCCATTCCTTCAGCCGCTGTTTGAACATACGCTCTGTGGCGAGGAAGTTGCGGTGTTCTGCCAGATAGGCGCGCACCTCTTTCAGCGGTCTATCTTCCTGAACATACAATTGCTGTATCAGAGGCTTGGCCAGCTGCCAACCTTCTGGTGATGGTGCACTGGAGGCTACACCCGCCATTTTGGAAGGGATGGATAGAGCAGCACAAGACGTCCAATGATCATGTTGACCAGTGGGTCGTCAAAGAACACAGAGGAATGCGCTCTTTGAAGAACGGTAAGATGGCACGAAGTACCAGGATAGTGGGACAGTGACCAAAATGTGGCTCCGAAAGGTGGGGCGAAGGTGTTTACTTAGCGGCGTAGATAGGTCACCTTTGCCAAAACTTGCGCGCGCACATGGCGGTCAGCGAGAGTTGGTGTTCCTTGGTTCAGACATCGGCACGAAGGACCAGCCAGCGGAATGGATCTTTTTAGGCTGATGGTCCAGTCAGGAGAGAGGTACTTTGGTGCTATCCTCACACTTTGGGCCCCGCATCCGAGCCCGACGCCGAATTGGTTCTTAGCTTGCATGGGTGTGCATAGAAATAAGCATTGCGGATCCGATACTCATTCATCCGCAGATGGACCAGAAGTGACAATTTCCTTCTAAGACTGAGCCGTTACGTAGATAAGGACACGAAATACCACCGAGATCGCCGGGTTGGGAATTGGGCAATGAAACTGGCATGCCTTAGTGCATAATTGATCAGCCTCGTCGCGGTCTTTGATTCGCCGGCGAAAATGGCGTAGAACCGCAATGGTGCCACGGCGCAGTCTCCGGTGTTACAGACACACAGATTGCATTCTTCGCGTGGAAGAAAGCCGCACGACTGCTGGTCTCGAAGGATGTCTAAACTCAAAACAAGGACAAAAGACGGTTGATGAACCTTCATTGATACAAATTTGACACTTATTATGGGACAATTAGCTAAGCTTTTGGTCGGCGTTATTGCAGAGCTTCATGCGCAACACTAAGACTCCGCAAGCCGCTTCAACACAAGTCGATCCGAGACATCTCGTCCTGTTCGAGATAGAATTAAGAAATAATATTGTGACACTGACTTTTGATCGGCGTAGGCCTGGCAGACTCAAGGAGAATGGTGTATCCTGGACATGTTGTTCCAGGCGAGTAGGTCGAGATTGAGATGAAATGACTTCCCACCAGATGCTCCTCACGTTGGGTGTTCCGAACAGGCTGCCTGATAAGGCTAGTACCAGGAATGTGCTTCCGTAAGCAGCACGAGGCTGACGCGTTTCGTTTTCGTTTCAGATACTTAAAGTGGACCCAGACCAGTTGGCCAATTGACAACTATAACTCAACACACCAGACTGCTTTCAAGGTGTATACCCACAAATTCCAGAACCTTGCCCCCGCCGCCCGGTCTGTGAATGCTGGTCTGCCGTTCGGAACAGCCATCTCATGGACTGGAAACATTCAGACCGATGGAATCGGCCTTGGTTGGCTTGGTCTTGGCTTGGGACCAGGTTTGGGCTTGGGACCGTGTTCTACCCATTGCGTGAAAGCAGTGTAGACCATGGTTTGCTTCTTGCTTTGAAGTGTGAATCCTGCTCGATATTGTGTATAGAGGGGTGATGTGTGACAAAGGCATTGGAGGTTATCCAAGCTGTAGGTTGGATTGAGCTTGAGAGCACTCGAGATGTGATCCCATTGAGGATGAAAGTGGTTTGTTTTCGTTGGGGAGGAGTCGGAGGCGACATTGAAATGTTGATCAACTTGCTGTGGAAGGCCCACGGTCCACACCCAGAGGACAATGTCTGATGCTAGAGGCGGGTAAGACCCGTACACGTGGATGGCCATCGTCTGGGCCATCTGCGGGATGTCAGCACTTGATTTGATGAAAAGCGGGCGACACTGCTCTCACCAAGTTTTCGGGGTATTGGGCGTGTAGCGGCAATACTACTCTACCGGACTGTTCCAAGGCAGACGTATCGCAACGGACTTCCATTTCGGTTTTAAGGTTTCTAAGGACTTGCTTTGTAGGATGCGCGCTATGTCGCCCACAGGCGTGCAATTTCGGTCAAGGCTCTTCAAATTTTTCGTATGAGCGTGGGCAACCCGTTGATAGATCTTGGTCAGTAAATAGATGGATCAGGACCAGATTCATGGTTGAGATTGATGATGGCACGGTACAGAGGTCTTTCGAACAGGACCAATCAACCAGTCATTATGGCCCCCCCGAAGCAAGGAGCACTGTTCAACATCCAGCCCTCGATAGCAGCTTCGTTACCGTGTAAGAATTTCTGCAGTGCGTATGTAAATTGACTGAGGCGCCTCGATATGGTTGGGTCGTGTGAGGGCCGATTGGTCTCGCGGATTCGGGAGGCTGTGGCCGCTGTAGATAGTTCAAAGCACGGGCAGCAGAGTTGTAAGACCCATCACGCCCGATGACCGAGCCTTGGAGGATTAAGCAATGAGGACAATAAAAGGGGCTGGCCCACCGACCCGAGTCCTGTGCAAATAGAAGCGTGGCAGGAAAAGCATAGAGACTCGGCCAGAATTAGAGATCGCATGATGATAGCGAAGTGCGCGTGCCCTAGCTTACCCTGGTGAGCTGGGAGGCGGACCGGCTGCTTTCAGTGGCCAGAAGAGGGGGGACCAAGTACCACCAACCCCACTGACCTACCAAAGATCGCTGAAGATTGTGTGGGCTCCCAATGGTGGACCATTCGCTTGGGTCAAACGCAGCACGACGTCAAACGATGTCAAAGCTAGTTACTGACAACCATGTGCACTCGCCGCAGCACTGACACGACGGCATTGGTGCACCGTGATTACCGAGATATGACACCAAAGGAGATCATTGGAAGATGCCTTTCTAATAGTGCTGCGGCTAGCAGCCAAGTGGTCACCTAGCGCTGAATGGAGCCCTTAGACGCAGTGGCTCTCATCTCCCCCTTACCTGGCTCATCATACCAGTGCTGCTAGTTTACCTGTTTCCCGCGTTGGGCACACCGGAGTAGAAGACATAATGCATCATGATGCTGACCAGTTTCTTGCAGAGAAGAACAAGAACGGATCAAAAGCAGTCGATTAGATCTCCGAACTGTGAGAGGCTTTATTTATGGATGTACTATGGAGGGGTGTTGGGAGTCTGACAATCCAAGCCCGTGGCTCTTGGAGTAGTAGGTTTGGATTGAGTCGAGTTGTGTAACTCGATTGACAGCGGCACACAGGAAGCCATTAACAGTCATGGAGCATGTTGTTGGTTGAAAGCCCGAGTAATAATACATGGCATGTGGTGGTCTCCAGGACTCGGAGTGAAAGAATATTTTGTCTTGGTTCCCCGGATATAAGTTCCTACACTGTGTATTTACTTGGCAATACCAATCACTCCGAGTCCCTGTTGCTGGAAACGCCACAGCACTGCATTTTGCATGCACTATTCCGTACCATCACGTACTACTACGTACATAGTAACTCAGAGGTCAGGTCACCACCTAGTACGTAGTAGTACGTAGTAGTACGTATGCTACCATGGAAAGACGTTGCGCCGACTGCAGCAGTTTGCATGCCGTCCTCCACCACATTACTCCATAGAGCTAGGTCGAACACCCTAGAGACGCCCGATCGGACCTAGACCACGTCAAATCCGTCATACTGAAAGTTAATCTCAATTCAATCTCCACAGAAAACAAGGTGCAGAAAAGATGACATGGTTCTCTGCGTTTTCTTGGGCGCCGACATGGCCCTTACACCTACTAGGCACCAGTGGCTGACTTCAACAGTTGCTGGCTGCCATGCTTACCAGGATCTTCATCACCTAGGCGTCCACAGAATATCCACATCAGAATGCACTCATCTCGTATCGCGTCCCAGTTCTGTTTATCAACAAATCCCGCTTCATCCTCTCTGGCATGGTACAGGTACCACCAACCCCTTCTCACCATTGTTTGAATCAGCTTGCATTGATGCTTTTCCTTGGGCCCTCCAACACAGCATAGCTCGCTACAACACACCCAATCCTTCCAGAAAGCATTGTTGACGATCTCTGCCCCGTGAGCAAGAAAGGCCGATCGCATAAGTCGAGCCGTCAATGAATGTGGTTCAGGGGCCAACGAGTTTGATTTGGCTAGCCAGATTTGAGTTAAGGCATCACTTCGACTGCGATATTCCCTGATAAGTCCTTCCATGATTGCTTTGATCGTGGCGCCAGAATCAGCTCTCCCTTGCCATGCTGCTGCAATCTCGAACAGGCATAGGTGCGCCAGCAGCTGGGCAATGTCGCCATTTACTCCTCTGCCAACACATGTAAATTCCCAGTCTATGACTGCAACCTCAGGTGGGCCTGTTGGGTGGCCCAGACCAATAAGCAATGCACCAGTCCAGCAGTCACCGAGAGCTATCACCTTTTCATCCTCGTCACTCGTGCGCGTGAAGTTATCCTCGACACACTGATATACCATCGAGACAGCATCATGAGGAAACAAATCCGGGAATAGGTTCAACTGCTCTTTAACCGGTCTGATCGCAGCTTCCAGAACCATGTCCAGCATACCGTCATGTTTCAACAAGTGCGGATCATGGTATGGCTCCCTTTGTATCATCTCCACGTTCGTTCGTTGGTGGAGGCCGGCGAAAAACGATCCAACTTTTTGACCAATCATCACACCTTCTGCCGGCGATATTGGGGTGACTACCGATGATGTACGAGCAGACGAGTCCTTACTGACCCTCGTTGCTGTGGTTATGCTAGCGAGGTCATCGAAGAATTCAGAAAGATTGGGAAGGGGCCCAAGGTCTGAGATAATTAGGACATGCTCCTCTTGGTCATGATGGAGCAAAACGGGGATTCTAACTCCAGTCTCTTCACAGAGATGGTGCAAACTGTTCGACGAAGGGAGGAAGAGCGATAATGCACGTGCCTCGATAGTCTCAGTATCAAATTAGCAAGCGTATGTTTGGAACGTTGAGCTCCTGGTGTTGTACCTGTCTGAATGTGGAAAATGGTGCTTCAGGTCCAATGCCGGCTACATAAGGTGGGGCATACTTTAGGATAAAGGAAGAATGGTTAGCGAACCTGCTCACGGGTATATCACTTTTGGAGAGCCGTGTTGCACGAGCAGTGATATTCACTAAGCCTCCAGTAAGCCGCTGCACCACGTATGACTGCATCGGATCTATCTTAGCCAGGTAGTCAATAAAATCAAGGGCCATGATTGCTTTGCGCGGCGCGAACTTCTCGGTCTAAGAGGATCGTGTTGAAAGAACAGAGAGGAAGCCAGAAGACCTGATCCATTCTAGCGAGGTAGACGCACTTGAAGTGCATTTGTATTGGCTACGCTTATGATGCTGGGCTGCGGTAGCTGGCACTGCAGCAAGTGTCTTGCTGTGTCAAATAAGATGCAAGCTACCCTCCTCGGAACTTTAGTGACAAGAAATTGCAGCTCTATGGCATGGCTACTAATGAAAGCCACCACCGGTTCACCGTTAATTTAGAACACAGTGTACGGAGTACCGACGGTAAGTAACAACCAACTGGGAGAAGCCTTGGACGCCGGATGGATAGTTACGAATGCCCGAATCTCTAAATGCCCAGATTGAATTCCACACCAACATCAATCTCTCTTCCCATCTTTACCAATTTTGAGAATTGCACAGATTTCTCTGCCGCATTTTGCAAGTCCTCGATTGAAAAGATCTTCAAGCCGGAATTGTTGACCTTGCATATGTCAGCATGATTAATGTAATCTGATACAACCTTAAGTCTTACCAGCTCATGGGCCTTTTCCATATTTGTACCTTGTAACCGGCAAACAATTGGAGTCCGTAGGTTCATCTGCTGGACAACATTGATCAAGCCTTGCGCAATGGCATCGCATCGGACTATGCCGCCAAAAATGTTGACGAAGATAGCCGTAACTTTGGGATCGCTGGTAATGAGGTCAAAGGCAGACCGAATCGCCTCGGCAGTCGCACCTCCACCAACATCGAGGAAATTTGCTGGTGAGCCGCCGTTAAGCTTGATAATGTCCATGGTTGCCATGGCGAGACCAGCACCGTTGACAAGACAGCCAATATCGCCATCCAATTTGATGAAGTTGAGACCATGTCTGCAAGCTTAGCCAAATTCACAAGTAAAGGATGGAACATTACGTACTCGGCAGCCCTGACCTCATCGGCGTCCTCTTGAGTCGTATCCCTCCACGAGAAGACCTCTTTCTGTCTGAACTCTGCATTATCATCGAAAGTCAGCTTAGCATCCATTGCGAGGACCTGATGATCGCTGGTCTCTGAAAGCGGATTGATTTCAATCTGGGTGGCGTCCTTTTCCATGAACACCTTGTAAAGGTTTTGTATGGCCGTCTTAGCGTCTTCAATGCACTGTTCCGAGAAGCCAAGTTCTGTTGCAATGTTTCTGGCAATCTCGTCGGTGACGCCCTGGTTGATATCGATGTTGGTGGTAACGATAGCTTCAGGAGTCTCTTTTGCCACAGTCTCAATATCCATTCCTCCTTGTGATGAAGCTACTATGACTGGTGCTTGTGATGCGCGATCCATCAAGATTGCGAGGTAGAATTCTCGCCGGGCAAATTTCCGCTCACAAATGTAAACTGCATTGCACAGACGTCCGCGTTCTCCGGTCTGCTTCGTTATCAATTTGTGACCGATCATTTGCCCAGCGAACATCTTGGCCTCTGCTGCTCTATTGCCTGGCCATCAGCATTGTATACGTCTCTGTTTGGCAGCCAACGCACGAATAGATGACCCTCACACCACCTTTGAGTCCATTGTCAAAATAACCTTTCCCTCTGCCGCCCGCAAGGACTTGGGCTTTGATGACCATGTCATCACCACCTGCTTGAGTAAACATAGGTCTCTCCAGCCATATTCCGTATGCCTCTGGTTACCTATCTCTTTTGCAACGGCCTCGGCCTCTTCAGCTGACCGGGCGACTTTACCAGCAGGGACACCCACACCATACTATAAACCTATTAGCTATATCCACAGAGCGAACATTGGTTCATTACTGAATTGAGCAAATTCGCAGACAGGTATTCATGTATCGAAAGGTTCCGCTGCTGTTTCTGTAGCGAGCTCCGCAGAGGACTCCCCTAACCACGATTGATCAGATGTGAATGCTTACATGGGAGAAGGAACAAACGGATGCGGCCCTCAGCACAGCCGCAAAGGGCGGAGCTCGTGAAAGCTTGAACATAATCACTGGTCTAGCCGTCGTCTCAAGTATTGGGAGCTGGAGTTCAGATGTAGGGTTTACTGGGCTTCAGAAGCCGAGGACGGAGCGGGAATTAATTTGGCCGTGCAGTTCAATTTAATTATTTACAGCGCTGAGATCTGACATGTTGATCATAGGCGGCAATGATCCCGCAGTACATGACTTATACTTGAGCATATCTGCACTATGAAATGGGTGCTTCCGAAGACTGTTCAGAAGCTGAAGTCATCTTCAATCGAGCGTCACTTGCTCTTGCCAAATCCCAACGCTTGATCGCATCCTGGCTTCCCCCAAAATCACAGGTCGCTGCTGCTGCTAAAACAGAGGAAGAACTTGACAGAGAAGAATCAGAAATATTTTCCCCTGTACCTGAACGGTACGATCTTCAGATCTGATCCATTTCCCGGTATATTAACTGACACGGACTAGACTCGGCCTTGGAGCTCCAGTTCCAGAAATTGCAAAAAGACAACCAACGCGTGCTGGGAGTCGATCTACCTACATGGACGACAAGTTACGGAAACAAATGCTGAGCAGGAGAACACCGAGCAGTCGGCGCCAAAACAGTTTTACAGACATCGATCCTCGTTCCGTGAAGGTTGTGTCCCCCATACGCAAGCCACACGACAAAAGATCCTCATCCGAGAGTGAGGACGAAGATGGCCGCACAGCAATCAGAGGGGGGTATCTAGGACGCATCAAGCATCATTCTCATTCCAGTCCAGAAGAACTACCGGCAGCTCCGAGCGAACCTGCGTCACTGGTTGCTACCTCGAAAGAGATATCAAACACTTTTCTCGCCACATTCCCAAAGAAACGGCCGAATAGTTATTTAGACGAGGTTTTGTTAACCCGCTCAGTCAAGCATAAGAAAGAAGGGAAGACTAGTCGCAGATAGAGCCATGGCTGTTGCCCTACTTGCTGACCGGCGTAAATGAACTCAGCTATAATCAAGCAATTCCTTCATGACCCTATATGCCTCCAACTAAAAACAAGATTCAATTGTTTGTAACATACAAAGATCATTTCCTGCAACGGAAGATGCCATAGAACATAGCAAAGGCTCCTCTCCAACCAAACGTTCCCAATGTTAAGCTTGATCAAACCATTGTCCAACAATGTGTTCCTCGAATGTTGCTCTGAGATCCTGTACGATCTTGGTCTGCTGTGACAATCTTTCACGAGAACTCGTCTTTACGTGAGTTTTGGTGATTTCACTCTTGTTCCATGCTAGCACAACTGTATTCTGTACGCTGCCAACCAGGCTCTTACCATAATGCTGGGTCGTTCTCGTGACAAACACTATGCCCAAGACACAGCCAGCACAAGCTGAGTTTTCCCGCAGTATGGTAACCATCTAGCATCCACCATTTCCTGCAAACCTATCACCAGCCATCCGTCGAGACCAGCATCAGAGTAGACGGAGTTGGGTGCTTTGCGAAGACTCCCTAGATGTACTGAGGTAGCTTCCACCTTTGGTCGGCTAATTCCTTCACGCTGTCGCCAATATCCCAGCTCAACAACCTTGGAGAGTGACATTGAGCCATCTCAACCCACTGCAATTCAAGTGTCCTTAGCCAAGCAAGTCCCTCATAATTGCCGAAGGGACCAACACCTATGATTGATCTTATCTATACGACCTTATGGTGAGGATGTAACGTAAAACCCTATTCTTGCGGGAAGTCCTTGAACCATAATCTGGGGCATTGATAGCACTTCATAATCTGATGATAAATGTTCCCCCAATGCTACTCCACTTCAGTCAGAGTCGTTGAATTGCAAATCCAACTTGTTGAAGGACATTTCCCTAGTCATGCCAATATGTATCACCTGCAGCACTCCAGTCAGGCACCTCTATACGACTTACAGCAAAGGCTGACGATCGGTCTCTTGGTAAAGGTGTCCGATTGACACAATGCCCGAGCTGCAAACGCTTTGCAGACAAATACGTGGAACATGACTTTGTCGTCCTGTTTATAGATCTCGTCCTCATCAAACCACAGGTGAGCGCACGCGACTTGCTTGCTCATCGGCATACGCTTATCAGGCTGAAGGTCTACAGACATCTTCTCTTCAACCGACTCGGGCGTTCTGACGATAAACTCGATCCTTCTATTCTGCGACTCGGAACACTACTCCTTTTGTTCGACGTTTACCTTACCTGGGCTCGCGTAGAGAATGCCTTCGCCACCACTCCGCATGAGCCATCGATGGCCTCCTTGACAAATGCGCCAATCCTCTTGCAATACATCTTTTTCCTCACATTCAACGCGCTTGCCACGCTAGCACATCACCTCACTGTCCGGTTGCTCGTTCAAATGTTCCAGTTCACTTCTACCTCTCATGCTCGAGTCGGATCTCTAGAGCCTGTAACATTGGGTGAACACGACAAGCGGGGGGACCAAGACAGCCATCATACAGGCTCGACAACACAGAGATACCCGAAGCGAAAAGTGGGTCCTAGATTTGCCTCTCCTTCCGCGATCTCAACGGCCTTGCTAGTATCTTCATGTACGAAGCTGTTCCCAATACTGCTGGTTATTTGGCCAGAAACCACGGCGAGCGAATCGCGCGACATTGGTGCTACATATTCCTTTGCTAGCCGAGCAAGCAGCTACGTGGGCTGGGCAGTCCTGTTAAATAACGTTGAAGCACTACTGATATTGCTCGACTGCGGATATCCTAAGGCTGCCGGACTAGCTCTGGCCGGCACAACTGCGCGATGGGTCGTGGAGGGAGCAGTGCTGGCCGGGGCAGGCCTAGGGGGCGAGAGTAGTCCCGTCGGTGACATTTTTAGATTGGGGAAGAACGCCCTCAGTCTGCTTCGTGGTGGCAAGAGCTGAGCCTGGGCTGAAGGTACTGACAGCCCATTCTTCACATCTACACCCTGAACAGTTCTTGAAGCGGGCACCTGATGCCTAGGCAGAGGCGAGCGCCATCTATGCTTTACATCTGAAATAAGTGAGAGATCCCAGTCAGATCCTCATCGCTATAGCACCTCAAGTAAGTACGATGCCTGGTTAGCATGCATGTTCCACAATGCGTTTCTCAGTAAGTGTTGGCTCCTATATTCCGCAGCAGCCGCATACAGTTAGCCTTTCTGCAAATAAGATCCACGGAGGCCGACCAGTGGCATACTACGCTCAAAAGCAGCGATAGAAGACGTACAGAAACCTTGGATAACGGAGTCTTAAATATTGCCAGATCATGCTGCCGAATCGAGCAAAGCACCATCTTGTGGCCTTTGTCACGACGTTTCTTATATTCGTATTGCTATTATAGTCGGTCATCCCAATAAGGCAACTAAGCTTGCCGCAGCACATCAGAACCTCAAGCGTCCCGATGGTCGACTCCTTTGTGGAAGAAACGCCAACGTATCTGGACAATACTTCCAGATAGTACGGAATCAAGATCCCATCTCGTGGCAGAACACACTTTGCCTAACGCATGTGTATGGTGGAAGGCAAATATATCTTACCAAATTGACCAGCTGCTCACGACCTCAGCAAGCGTGTGGGCTGCAAACGAGTTCCGCATCGTTTTAGAGGATTTCGGGTGAGGACCTTCAGTATCTCCGGGGGGTACTGAAGGTCCGAAGAACAATCAAGCCTGCCAATTTGCTAAAGTAATTAGGCAATGAAACAGTGTATTCATATCAAGCCAGGTCAAGGGAGGTAATCGAAAACAGAAACAGATCTTTCTGCCTATTCATGAACTTTTTCCTTGGGCTTTCCCACCTCGACGCGTATTCATGCTTGTGGGCACGGACACAGCAGGACACGTGGTTTCGGAAGGTGCACCGATATCCCGTACTGCATAGCGCTGCCACCGAACCTGGTAGCTATTGTTGCAAACGGCTGCAGCCGCTCCCACGAAGGTGGACGAAGCCAGGCGTTGCGGCAGATTCTGGGTTAACGCTGGGACCTTGGCTCACATTCAACTTGCAGGATTCCTCGCTACGATTCAAAAGTGACCCATCGGACACGGCGCAATTCTTCAGATCGAAGGTCTGGCGTGGTTTCGTTTCGTCTGGGCCCAACGTAGAAATCATAAAGGGGTGGTGGGTGCAAGAGAAGTCCTTGACGGTATTATGGTTGCTGGGACCGGTCATGTCGCACAACATGGTCTTGCTCTGCAGTGGCGGCTGCTAACTCTACATAGTAAAATATTGATGTTGCAGATTGCCTAGGCCTCGGACGATGGTTACAGCTTGGAGTTCGCAAGATACGTTTTTGACTAAAGAAAGATGGTACTATTGGCAATTTCGATGCGATTCCCGTTCACCACAATTCTTCCTCGTCTCCATCGATATCACTCGTCCACTTCTCGCACCCTTTTCCGTCTCCCGCTCTCTCGTTACACAGAAGATGTAGCCACATGCTCCATGCTTGAATTATGGCCCTAGCCCCCACCAGAGTATTTGAAACGGCCCCATCCCCTATGCCCTTATCAGTGATGGACCACGTTGGCGGGTGGTTGTTGTTGTCGTTGTCCACATTTTCTGTCAAACTGCCGTTCAGACTACAAGGGCGAATGCACTGCCAAGGGCAAAGCAGCGGTACACATTGGACGTTAAACAGCTTCCCAGGGAAGGGGTACTCAATAACGTCGGCCTTGCCTCGATGACCCACGGTTTCTGGTCACAAGAGCAAATATAGAGGAGATATTGCAGTTATAACACCTGGCTCTGGCTCGGTCACGTTCTGGTCTATTATATTTATGTTGCTCTTGCCATCTCAACAACCCTTCTACTATTATAAATAGGGGACGCAGATGCAGACAAAGCTGCAGACTTCTGCTGAAGATCGTTTCCTCTGCAGTGCTAGGAATAAACCTCCTCGCCAGATGCTGCATCCCTTGGCTGAAGCTCGTCAGCGCTCCGTTGACAGTACTTTCTATCGCATGGCGCAATTAATTGACTAATGGTTGTTGCAGTCTATTCACCACCAAACTTGGCAGCTAAGTAATATATCCGGCTTTCCAGTGTGCAACACACTTTCGTGATGACTGCCCAGCCGCCACGCAGCGACACCATTGTATACGGTTTCCGCACAGACGTCCCCAGGAGAAGGCCTGGTATGCCTACCAAATTAGAATTGCCCTTGATCTTCGCTGTTAGCATTCTATGTCGTTCTCTGTGCTCATGCTATGTGATGATAAAGATTCATTGGAAGCAGTACTACACAGAACAGTGTCTGATGAAACACTGCTACGTAATGAAACATTTCAGGTGTTTTCAGAGACCCCGAATGGCATGCACGCTAGATTGCCAGCTCAATTTCGTTGAGTTGTCTATGGAAGAACCAGCCTTGACGAACCATACCTGCAGGTGGGGTGGGAGGATTCGATTGCAGGAGCGCCCTGCAATGTTCTTTTATTTGAGGCTGTGGTCCTATTGGCCTACAACAGGCGAAAAACGGGCTGTGCCTCTCCCATACTTGCCTATTATTGGTTGTGGTGGATGGATCCAGGCGAGATGCGGGCTCCCTGCTTGCGCTAAAGCTGCAATCAGAGCGTGCGTCAAAAGCGACGATCCTGGCACCATTTCCACGTGGAACACTTAAGCTAGCGGGTAATTTGCAACGGCAGTACTGAGTACGTGGCAGCCTTTGGGATCGATGCTTTCAAGCCTGGACCGTCCGACGTAGAGTAAGCACAGGCAAGAGACTTCAGAGCTCAACAGCTACCAATTCGAGTCAAGACGAGGTCAGCCACCTCATTAATCCTCTATCAAGCGGGTCAGGCGTTGCCTCAGAGTCGTCACACAGGCCGCAACGCTGCCGTCTTCAGCTGTGCCGAATATGACGAAATGAGGTACGTAAGATGATGATAGGCAGCAGTAGTAATGCTTTCCCAGCCTCCTTCTAGCGCAGCGCCTTATTCTTCATTTCGGTGGCTTGCACGAACGGTCGGGGGTAGAGAGGAATATAGAAACAGTGAACATGTCCAAGAACCAAGGCCAACTACTTTAGCATACAGCATTAAACCCCAGGCCAAGTATTGATCATCTGTTGGTCCAGTGTACAGAGTCAAACTCAGAGTCAGGGTCAGAAGAGACAGAAATCGGTTGAAAGGTATGCTCAGATCCCGCGCAAGTCGACCACTTATCGGTATGGTGTTGCACAACCAACCTGCATTAGTAGCGTGGACTTAACGTAGTAGCCTTCAAACCCCCGTTACATCATTGCTGCCACTGACCTTAGGTCGGTCCCCCGTTTCCCTCCTGCCCATATCGGTTTTAGAAAACGGTTGCTAATCGGGATACTCCGTAAAGGCTGGCTTGATCTCTGAAGATCTGCAGCGATACCCGTACATGCTGGCTCTACCCTCTCTGGCCTATAATGCGTCCTGGACGTCAACCGTGGCCCAACCGCAAGGCCACTCTGGCAAAGAAGACATGCTTTTTCGCATGGCATCTTCCAGGCTGCCATTCTGCGCTGATCAGACAAAGCCATGCTTTTGACAGCACCAAGCGCCATATTGGCCAGTCCCTTTACGGCTGGAACGACCCTCCTCTACAGGGAGTGTGCTCCCGCAGACCAATCAGCAAGGCTGACTGTGCACAACGTATTCCTAGGCCCTTCAGCTCGGAAATCCCACGGTACCACACAAGCGAGAGGCTTCCACTATCTAGCACGGCCAAGTATCTGCAGGATGATCATGCACAATTATGTTGAAGGCTGACATGCAACCTCTACGTGTGGCAGCGATTTCGCGTGGTTTTGAAATCATTATCCCGGCATCTATTTCTGAACCTCTAGCCTCAACAAGCAATGTACTTTCTGATGCATAAAATCACATCACCTCTCTATTATCTCTCCCCCATTCTTCATTCGATGCTCTATATCATCAAGTCGCTTGCCAGAATAATCCCCTTCGAAGCCTACTTCCCGTTGCCCGAGAAGCAAAGTCCATGCGAAACTCTGGCCTTTACACCCCAGTTCACCCTAACCTCAATTGTTTCCGAAGTACTATCATTCTGCTTTCTGTCTGTCGCCCTGAAAACCAGTGAGAGCTTGTCACACTTAGGTGGCATATATTGACTGCTCGAAACGTGATGGTCGTCCTCATTGCATGTGTGACATGTGCCAAAGCAAAGGCAAAGTGCGACAAGAAGGTGTGTGCCAATCTCAACACTGCATTTTGTTAATTTGCAATGCGTGCAAAGCTCACTCAGACCAGATACCTTGTGGCCGGTGCGTGGCCAAAAGGATTTCGTGTCGTCCCAGAGGAGATCGGCGGTTCTCAGATGGACAGACGGAATTAAGTCTGGCAGACATTGAGCAGATTGCAGCCGCTACTGCTGGGAAGTCGGCTATTCAGACACCCAATCTCAGCCGTCGTCCTAGCATTGGGACGCTGTGTCCGAGCCAGAGGGAGACCCCACAGCACAGTCCACAATCAATCCTGCAGACGAATGGCAGTATTTCCAACCCCATGAATATTCCTTGGCCTACCGCCCAGCTTCCTTCGCCGAGCAGCAAGGACCAAGAGAATGACATGGGCAATTCGTCGCCTATTTCGTCATGTTGGAGATTCAATTCTTCTTTTGAGCAGAATCCAACGCTTACCAACATTGACCCTGGTATTATCCATAAAAAGATGCCCCTTCTCGACCACTTCCTTCCAATGGCATCCGACTCGATGCAAACTGATATTGACCTTCCGAGCCTAGATCTGAGTAGTTTTCCGGAATGCTCTCTACACCTTGGAGACTCTTCATTTCCGGGAAGCTTTAACGACCTCCACCTTGGCAGTAGCACCCCAACATTAATTCCCTCGATGACCATGTCGAGCGACACGTTACCATCACTTTCCCGCGGATCATCTGCGGATGAATCGAGTGGCACGTACCGAAGGGCCGTTGAAGATCATGACCATTTTGATGACGTAGAGGAGAGCTGGCCTGCATTTCGGTGCAACCCACTGAGGAGTTCTGCATCGTGTCCCCCTACCCCAGGAATCTATCTCGATGGGCTGTTTAGTCTGCTACGGAACCAAGGGGCATGGTCGTCCTGGATTTCGAGGACACACCTAGTGACACCGATACCTGCAGGTCGAGTTGGCGTTGAGTCTTTCGACGACGTGTCACGGGCGAAACTCAGTGCAGTCGCTCAAAGCTTCTTATACCATGCCTTCGATGTTCACAGGGCTCGAAGCATGAATGGTTCACATGCCGCTTTGAGCCACTCATCAAGCTTCATGATCTTGCCACCAGCCAGGGTTCTCGGATGCTTCCTCAGTGCATATGTGCGACAATTCGAGACCTACAATGTTTGCTGCTCTGGTAGCTTACTGAAGCCTAATTGGCTTCTTTATCAGTCCGATACGAATCTGTCGAGCTTACTGGTTCTGTTGATGCTCGCATATGGAGCAGCAGCTGACTCAACAACAGAAGCTCGCTACTTTTCAAGCGGACTTATTGAGGTGTGCCGGATTTCGTGGCAGAAAGTCGTCGAGCGTGATATCAGCCTGACTAGAGATCCGACAGCTCTGCTTTCAGGGTTGCTCCTGACGACTCTGCAAGCATGGAGCGGAGACAAAACTTTCATGGAGGTGGCAATGGGCAAGCGTGATAGTTACATCAATGTGGGTGTCAATGTCTTGCATGTGGCTTGAGCGTGCGGGCTGACCGAAAGCAGATGCTGCGGCAAGCAGGTTTTTTTGAAGCACAGCCTATCGAGGCCGAAGGCCTTCGCCAGCATCAGACCATTGATGCGGCTTGGGAGCAGTGGAAGCTGGATGAGAACAAGAGCAGGTGAGTAGCTGCTGCTTATCACATTGACATCCAAACGTGTGAGTAACCATGCCTTCCAACAGACTGGTTTATGCTTGGGTGGCCTTGGACCAAGAGATGAGTCTGTTCTATGACACTGCTCCGCTCGCTTCCATCTCGGAATTGAAGACTCCTCTACCCTCGACACCTGAACTGTGGAAAGCACGATCAGCCACGGAGTGGTGGAATCGCTACGAAAGACAGCAAGGTGCAGCCTCGCCCTCGGAACCATCGTTGTGCAAGCTTTTTCGGACCTTCGTTGAGGGAGAGTGGTCTCACAATGCCAAGCTGGGCCCTACCGAGCTTCGCCTTCTTCTCCATCCTCTGCAGGGCATCATCAGCCATCTCCGGCAGTTCTTAAGATGCTTTAACGATGACGACGTGCATGTGAAGCCATCCAGGATGAAGACCAAATCTGTTACACTTGCCAGGCAAGAAGAGGTCAAGGAACTTCTGCGAAACTGGTACCAGCTTGCCTGTAACTCCATGGAAACCTCCCCACTCATGTGCGCCAATCTTATCAATTTCCACCTTATTAGTCTAAATGTACTACTCGATTTTCCAGAGCTCGAACGGGCCGCCCGGGGAAATCCGTGTGACGATGCAACATTGCTGCTGTCGTGCATCAGGCTAATACATCCAGACGAGATTGAAGAGATCCTAATGCATTGCGGGCAAGTTTTGAAGAACATTCAAGCCATCTCGATGGACTTTAGGCCGCATTGGTGGCCAGGCGCTCACTACCGCGTGGCGCTTATAGCTTGGGCAGTCAGTATGACCCAGAGACGGTTTCAAAAAGGCTCGCACGATCAGCCCGGAACAGAGCAAGACCTGGTGGCGATCGATGCTCTTGCTCCCGATCATCCTTCCATTTCGCGCTTTCTCAAGCGACAGAGTGGCGTGGCAGCTTTTTCGAATGCGGATGGGTCGCTGGTATCACTTTCATCTCCAAGAAAAGTGCTGGCATATTTTTCTACTTCACTTGAGGATGATTCATCTATGCGCTTCACGACCGGGACGCGAAACAAACTGAGACGACTCGCAGCGCGGTGGGAATCTGTCATGAGTTGAAAAGTGGACGTCGCGTTCTTTAATCACCACTGAAAGGACCACGAGGGGTTCAGATGATGTTTCCAACAACGACTACCAGCAGAAGATACCTAAAACCTTTTGAGACGTAAGATGGATGGTGGATAGCAATGTGTGTCCGTGGCGATTGGTGTCAAGGAGTTTGAGCCTTCGCGTGTCATACTCATAGATCTCACGACCGACATTGATAAATGATGATTCTGAAGGTTCATCGGCGTTGGCCTATCTGCTTTCTTTAGATTGGAATACCCCTTGCACAAGCGCTTCGCTCGGGTACCAAAAATATGATAGCGTGCCTATCGTCCTCTGAGCGACTACTCTTATTCTACATGGCTAGCAGTCTTTCCTGTATGGACAATGATCGTAGTCGATGAAGATGAGCTTATCGCGACTGAGGTCTGGTTTGGCTTCTCTTAGATCCCAGTACGGGGCCTTGGCGCCTGCGGAGCTATTTCACCCGAACTTTGCCTTCAGATCTCCAGGCATTAGAAGCGCCATAGAATCCACGCTTGGAGCTGATAGCGCACCACACCCACCTAGCAAAGCTACGTAGTAGAGTGGCCTAGGGTTGGATTATGGAGACGGCGTAACTGTACTCCGGGGATAGACGACTAGTTAGGTTACGGCTAGCTGAAGCTCGGGAATGGAGGTCACCTTCAAAACCGGCTGCTACTGTTGGTCTTGGTGCTGTTAGTCTTATAAACGATACAGCCAATCATTGTTTCAGTCGTGATCTCCAACCCTCTAGACTCCCTAGCCGGGGGGGGGATTTTAATGTGGTTACACCTTGGGTCCTTCGGCCCATGCGATACGCAGTACGCTCTGCATTCGATGATGCCATCTAGTTCCCACTAAAAGATCCTACAACCAGTAACCTGTACCACTTACCCCGTATGTCTTTCTGAAACCGAAGGCTTGACGGTAAAGGTGGCGGAGGTCGATTTCAAGCACATCACCGGCTTCCTTAATGTAGAGCTTGCGATCATGGAGGCTATGGTCGATGTCTTCCAAGCCAGACCAAGATCATCCCTTCGCTTCCCAGTCTGAAATTTATCCTCCTGGGAGCATGGGGACACCATGCTATCTGCTTCTACTATAGTATCTTGGCGTCATTTCACTACTAAGGGATCGGGTTGGGTGGCTGAGAAGCAGATGGAATAGGTTTCGGACGAGCTAAACTCACCGTAACTTCCTCGTAACTTCCTCGGATCCTTCTCGCCATGTGCATTATTCGCCTTGGTGGAGGGTCGTGTGCCAAACGGATATCGTCACACACGCCAACCCAACCCCAGTAATGAGGTACCCGTACACAACTACCGGGACAGAGTTGATCCATCCGCTTGTCTTAGTGGGTCAGTCTAGTTCTCTGGCTGCCGGCGCTAGCTTAAGAAGCCGGTTAAAAAATCCAGAGAGAGTTCCCGCTATGCGGTTGGACCGCCCCTAAGGCTTTAGTTGCCGTCGTTGGTCGGAGCTAAAGGAGAGATCTGAAACTTCATTTGAATTGATCCGCCCACATGGCGCAGCACGGGTCGCTTCCGTTTCCATGGCCAATATGATGTGCAGGGCCACGTCTCTGTTGCGGATTCCTGTTTGCGCTTTTTGGCCCCCTGCCACGTCGTCGTCCAAGAACACGGTGCATCTAATAAGAATACGTCGCGAGAGGTGTATGGAATGCAGCCATGTGGCCATTGTTGCATCGATTAGAGTGGCCCCCCTTTTGTGGGGTGAGGCTGACGTCGTTGACAATCCTCCGGATCCTCGTGGTGAGGGCCGATCATCTCAAGTCGGTGCTCGAGCATCGTGTACACATCGATCCTGAAGGCACAGCTGAGGCGCTGGATGGATTCAATCTGCTTTGGCATACAAGGAAGCAGGTCTGGATCAAGCCCAACAGCAACCAACGCGGCACTTGATGCTTAGAGATGGGGTCAAGAGCAATCCCCACAGATGCCGGTGGCCCTCTGTCGTCCATGTCTGACAACGAAACGGTAACTTAAGGCTGACTCTTAATTTAGCACGTTCTAGCTAAAGAGTGTATGACGCAGGTGAGACGTGCTGACAAAACCTCTCACAGTGTATCCATTTGAAGCCAAATAGCCCAAATCAAAACACCTGACAAATAAATTAAATCCGTGCATTCGGAAATTTAACAAATAAAAGTCTTGGCGGACTCGGTTTCTGAGATGAAAATCCTTCAGAGACCTCCTAACAAAACATTGCTTATTGACAAATGAGTCGAGTCAAAACAAATCAAACTCAGGGATTAAATGGGCTAATCAAATGGGGGTCATGATTTGGGTTACTTGATTTGATGGATACATTGAGCAGTTGGCACTTGCCGATGGGATAACTCTGGTCTCTTTGGATGGTGTACTAGAAACCTTAGCCCTACATGTGCTAAAGCTACAGGAGCGTCAGTAATCAGCCTCGCAAAGTCTGGTCGCTAATCCAGCAGGCAATGTCCATGGCACAATTGACACATCTGCCAAAAGCTGGCTTCAACTAGGAGACAGCTGAAACATTCCGCTGACGAAGGTTTATGAGAGTAATTTTTTTTTAAAAGATGGACACCTTCATGAGTGCTGTGTTTGCCTTAGCCGCAGACAATAGCTTGAACGAGAAGTTGTCCAAACAGAATCTATACGTTGCCCATCGACGTGACAACCCGGATGCTTGCATTCAGGTGTGCTGCCTTCGTAGCTCATGACCGCAACACTTCAACATCAGAGGCGGAAGCCTGCAACAAACTTGAACCAGCGGGCCTTGGTCAATATCGCAAGTATGCTATCGTGCGGTTTGTGGGACTTGGGGATGTGTTCTATTGTTTCCAACGACTTCCAAGCGTCTCATGAGCATCTCTTGACGCGCTCTGGTCCTACCAGGTGCGGCGCGGTGAGGGAGAGGACGCAAACAGCCACCCTACCAACCGCCAAAAGGACAGCGCGGATGGGTTGGGGCTTCGAACTATATCTGGTTCATGTATCCTTCCTGACGAGGTGCGGTGCTGCGAGTTTGTAACCCTCCCCCCTTTTTTCGGCCTAGGGCTACCGAAAGTAGAGTGGTTGGTTGGTTGATTGGAATCTAGTATAGCGCTGTGGTGTTGGGATCTGGTTTTGGTATTAGCATTTAGTGCTCGGTAGGGTACGCTGTTCGCTAGGCTGGTAGGATGGCAGCAGCAGTGGCAATAACAATGGGATTCACGCCGCTCAGTCCCAACCAGTAGGATTATTAGGAAAGGAAAGGGGGGAATAAACTGGGATGAACACGCCGTCTGTGTCGCTGAAAGAAAAAAGAAAAGAAAAGGAGACATCATGGCTAGCCGAGGGAGGAGGAGCAAGTTTTGCGGGAATTTTCGTCGGAGATGACTCATACGCGGGACCGTTGTGATTGCACTGGTGACGGGGGTTCGTGATGCTGATTTTGGCGCAGGAAGGACCCAGCGGTGGAGGTGGAGAACGTAGGAGCTTGGAAGTAGACCTATAGAGTAAATAAAAGTGGCTGGGGGAAAATAAGGTTGGGGCCTTGTGAAACATAGGAAGAAAGTTAAATGAATTCTTATACGGTGGTTACTAGTAATTCGCCCTCATCTTTCCCAGATTAGAAGTCACGATGAGGGTTAGCATGGGTTGTGATAGTTGGGGAAGGCCTTAAACGTTTTGAAGGCTGCTATACTATGCGACGAGGAGACAGCAGATATAACCGGTGGTAATGGCGAATATTCCCGAAAGGAAGGTCTAAGTCGGGAGTTCTCCGCCGGTGGTATGGGAGTTGCGCCGATGAGTTTGTGATTAAGAAGAAGCAGAAGAGACATCAGCCCCAAAATTTAAAAGGGTATTCATCAAATCTCAAACGAGGCAAATCGAGGCACTGATTTGCTTTGCTTCACTGATTTGTCAAATCGAGTCAAATCCTAGTAAGCAATATATTCCTAGGGATTTACCACGGATTCTCATCAGAATCCAGTGCCCGCCAAGACTATTATTATTCCACTGAAGTTGAACTGAATATTCCCGCCAAGACTTCAGTTTGACTAATCGTCAAATCCACGGAGGCTGACTTGCTTCGACGAAGGCACCGATTTGATTTGATTTGCCAAGCATTTGATTTGATCGGGTTGACTAATTTGATTTGATGGACACACTGAAGTCTGCTGCTGCAGCTGCAGCAAAATACAGAAGCAGCACTCACAGATAAGGCTTTTATAAAGCCTGAACGAGAACAGTAGCAGATCCAATAGAGCGTAACCTATCATCACCATCCTCAGGGTTGAAAGAAAGGAATACAAGGCCAAGGCCATCATAGAAAGAGCTACAATGTAAAAGAGTCGTCGAAATCTCCTGCTTTGCAACCAGAGCAGCCAGCGAAAAATTAGACCCCTACACTGCCTCTGCAAAGGACTCTTAATCTCAAGAGTAATGTACCTTCTCGCAGCTTGAAGGATGAAAGAACATCAAAATCCAAGGGAAAGTTGACCCTCCCCGTCCTCATCTCCAGACTATGGATGGCCCACTAAGAAAATTTAGATTTGCCACATTAGGAAATTGCCCTATTCTGGCCTGATTTGCTCGAACAAGCGAGTACGAAGTTGCAAGTGGGGTAAACAACAGATGCCGGCCAAAAGGAGTTAAGGAAAACGGGTGATTACCAGGTAGGAAAGCAGCCTTGTGGCGTGCCGGTCTTATCAAACTTCTGCAACTCCGCCTACTTACTAGTATTCTAGTACTCAAACCCTTGAAATTACAGTTATGGTGCATGTCCGGTCCTGTTGGGTATCAGGAGCTCAGTAGCCGATGTGAGACCGTAAGGAGGAGGAAGAGCTTCTTTTCAGGCACAGGGTACGAGCATGGATTGCGGCAAAACGATAAAATGGCAAGGTCACGAAGGGTGACCCCTTAAGCGTTTGGCAAAGTGATGACATGATGCAGATAAGGGGAGGGAAGCATAAAGGACTGTGCATACGGCCTTATTTCAAGCGCTAAGAAATGGCATGATAACATTTGCATTACTTCGTTGATCTGCTGGGAATTCGGGAGCTATCGGATGCAGGTGTTGGCCTTACGGGGATTACGTAGTACGGTACTTTCGACAAAGATCCACACTGATCTCCGCTACCCCTTTGGATGGGGTAAGGCTCCTAGATCGTGACGGAGGTGGAGACTAAAAGTGTTGGGACAGACGCCAGAACCAGGCCGCGAGGTTTGGTCTGAATAAAGTTATTTAGCGTTGGGTGGAATTCCCTTCTCGTACGCAGCAAGGGGGAGGAGAGTAGAACATCACCCACGTTTCTTGCCCAAGTTGCACCACATTAAACACATCAACACAGCATTGGGCTAGCTAAACCTTGAGCATTTAGATATCGTATATCCGATTCACCCCAACCGTTGCGATCACTGTTCCAAGTTCTAACCATCACTCTCCAGCGCATCCGAGCCGTCTAACAGTGGCTAGCCAATTTGAAATTTCGTTGCTGGAACAATCTAGTCATTTCGAGAAGATCATTCTCCAGACTCTTAGGTAGACTTTGAAATACCTCCACTGACGTCTCATTCTTGACTCTATAACAAAGGTCACCGAACCGACCAAGTAAAGGTTGTAATTTCTGCACTTCTGGCTTGAGTATGTTTAGCTTCAACCTTTGTTCGGCTCCCACGTCGACGGGAAAAGTCCTTGGCATCAATTGCGTGGTAGGAGTGCTCTCTTATTGAGCGCTTATGCTCGGATCTGCAGCCTGGCAGTAGGCCAGGACCTTGGTCAGTAGCGTTTATAGAAGCATGGCCAGACTCTCATCGCGGCTCGAGAGAAGCAGCCCATGCAGTTCAGCGTACTGGAACATTGATACTTTGCCCAGGAATTCATGGTCATGATCATGTCGGATGGTGCTGACGAGTTCCACAAAGTTAAAGGTTTGTAGAGCATATTCAGAGTCTCCAAGCACTGAGACAAGCATTCGCATTGCAAAGAGTCAGATGGGCCATGAATGATTCAAGGGAAAAAGCATTTTGCCTTTTCCCGTCAAGTGTTTCTTTAGCAGAACTTGATGGCGTGTAGAGTCTAGGAGTTGGTGATACAGAGGGGTCGAGGGCAGGCATGTTGAGCTTAGTGCCGAACAAATCTCGTGAAAGATTAATATCGGGTTGCGTAAATAGAGTCTGTGTAGATTCTGAGGAGGCGAATCAAATAAGGGGAGAGAATGTGATCGGATGAAGAGTGCCTAATCCGGTGAAGTCTGGTATTATGAACGTGCTGAAGCTAGGAAGGGTTTTGGAGCATATCGAGATTATCCGAGGAGATGATCCAGTCCGGTAGAGACGCACAATCCGTAGAACCTCTTTGACTACGTGTAGGAGAGTTTTGTGAGGTTTGTCATCCGGTCATGGCCTTCGTTTTACCGGGTCTTCGTGAGGGCAGATACATGCACTGAAAGCCTCGGGTGACGCATCGCTCGCACTCAGACTTCGTTATCGAGCATTTGATTTTCGGTTTGTAGCAGTTATCGCAGGAGCCCCTCATTCCCTCAGTCACAGAACGAGATGGGAGCGGATCAGGTTCAGCAGAATCGCTGGAAGGACCTGGCATTGCGGATGGTAATGTTGAGTCCGAGCTCATGGCACTAGGGACTTTAGTTATCTTCATCGAGTAGGCAGAGTAGGTATCGTGTTGAGGTTGACTAGAGCTCATAATTGATCAGAGCCCTTTTGTTGGCTTGAAAGGGAAGATCGAGCAGGCGGCTCTGCAAGTCTTGAGGATAGAGGAATACTTGTTGAAAGAAAGGTTGACCGATATGGTTTCAACATAGCACAGAACATGTTCCCACGCAGACTACCTCCACGATCCTAAGCGTGGTCAAGCCGCTCTGCTTGCCGAGTCCACCCGTTATCATTTCGTTTTATAGTGACAGCCGAAACGCAGCGGATATGCGGCGAGTCGGGTTTAGCTATGTCAGCGCCCCACGTGCCAACTCAACCAACGTTAAAATAAGCTTGAGGAAATTAAGCTTGGTACTTTGTAGTCATGTCCGACCATTGGGGTACAGAACCCGACGCTCCGGTCGTGACAGAAAACGCTTCAGGCTTCATATCCAAGAGTAATGTTGTGTCTAGCAAAATCTCGCCACCAACGTAATCCGGTACAACTTGCGCTGCCCTTCCTGGTAGAAGGCCATGTTATCCTTGAGCGGAGATGGATAACGGAGAATATATTGAACTTGGATCGGACTGAAACAACAAACTGTGTGCAGCGCGCTACCTTTACTCCATTGATTTTGATCATTCTCAACGCTCACAAGGCTGGCTTGATTAAGCCATGTAACATTGCTGATTGGTAGAAACGTCCCCAAAACCGGAAATCTGTGGCTGTAGAAATATCGTAGTACGAGTCCATCTCATAGGAGTACTGTTACACCTGAATTGTCATAGGCAAAGCTTGAGAGAAAGGTCAAACTTACTTGTACGTAGCAGCCAGAGTTCCCTGCATGAGTTCCCGGATTTCCAATCTAGAATATACCATTCCCTCCTTTAAAGGCAACCAAGAAAAGATGGGCAGCCTCTACTCGGCCCATCCGGGTCAAATCTGGTTCCTGGCAGGTGCATTGCTGTAAACCAACATGAAGTCGATGGTCGCTGTTGGGTAGTCGGGTCATCCAAGAGCGCTGAAGGGCAGATTGTTTGGGCATCAAAGTTGAGAGATGCAGTCAAACAAACACCTTAGGTATTTGGTATCCATCATGGGATTGTTCCGCATGACGGGTTATGAACACCTTGTCCAAGGTTCGGTTGATCTTAGCACTACACCCTCATGGTTCGGATGTCGAGCGAATCTAGTCATTGTGTGGTTTAGAACACACAATATCGTTGACGGCAAGTTCTAGTGTGTGCCCAAAAAAGGTTTTCGCTGCATATGCACCGTACTGCCGTGAAATGACCCCAATTATCATTGATCTTTACCCGCTGCTCTAGTTAGAATGCTTCTGGGGTTGCGACCACCAGGGTATGGTTCATTTGATTCATTTGTCAAACGAGGCAAATCATGGTAAGCAATAATTTTGTTAGGATAACTGTCGAGAATTTCCATCTCGCAAAAGGAGTCCGCCAAGACTTTTTATTTTTTCAACAAAAATATGCCAAAATATACAACTTTTCTGCCAAGACCCAATTTGATTAATCTGACAAACGCGATTTGATTTGATTTTGATTTGACTAATTTGATGTGACTGGATACACTGGCGACCACACTTTGATTGGTCGAACATCACGTGATACTACTTGGCAATGGATTTATGAGCCACTAATAATTAGTGTCATTTTATGGCAGGGCGATGAATACTTGTAATATCTAATCGTACGTCTTAGTTGAAGACTTTGATGGAAATACTTATTGCTGGATTGATTTGTAAGTTGTTGTGGCTCGGTAGCCTGCAACTGAATTCAATGATATCAGCTCTTTCGCTGGATATGGAAAACCGCGACTAGTGTACCACTGCAGGACATTCGCTGCGGAAAAGCTTCGCAAAAACAACCTGTGAATGGGGATAATGCCAACTCCTTTGCCATCATGATACTAACGCTATGCTGCTTCCTATACCAGTTTCTCCTGTCCGCCATCTTGCCGCCTCAGATAGCATGCCCCCCATGCTCAATACCAAGTTCCTGCATAACGTTCCCGGCGGCAGCAAGTCCCGTTGGTCCTGCATCCAGATAGACGGCACCAATGACCGCCTCAACAGTGGTGGCCATCATCTTGGACGAAGCCTGTTTCTGCCCGTTCGGAAGCTCTATGCACTTCACAAGATCGCTACTCGTTCCCACCCTTCCCAACATTGCATTGGACACGACAGACTGCCGGATGTTGTCCCAGGTTCCTATGCAACGAAACGATCAGCTCCAAACGTCATGTACTGGCCGAGATACTGGAAAAGGGTGCAAAACCTACCTTCCAGCGCACCACTATCGTACCAATCTTTGGAGAGTATCAGATCAAGAACGAAGTCGCCAACGATGGCCAACCGTTTGTTGCCATTCGGAATTGATCGTGAACCAGCGCTTCTCACGCCACTTCCAGCCATCTGGAGCGCTTCCCAGCAGAGGTCGCGATCTTTGAACTGGTATTTAAGGATCTCTTGGCAGTGGTCCACTTTGGGGAGCATGCTAGGGTGATGCATGTTGAAGGTGTTGTGCTGTGTTGAAGTTGATTGAAATATGGGTGTGATGGGAGGAGGAGTTTAACGTTTGGGAAGAACAGGCAGAACTACTCCCTGGAGTGATGGATAAAAAGAGAAGAGAGAGGAAAGGAAGGAAACGTTGTCGATACTTAAATCAATCAAAATAGCGCCGCAACATGGTGCGTTAGAAAGAACTGGTACCGTCCTAAAATCTGCCTGCAGTCTGCCTGCAGTCTGCCTGCATAAACGGCAATAGGACTAAGCATCACAAGAGCCTTCTCGAACCGTTAGAAATGCTATATGCAAACACCGTAATACAAGCACAATCTTCAGCCCATTTTGTGCCGCTGTCAAATCCAAGACAGCAACGGTTATAACGTCAGGTACGGAAAGGAATAATGAAACACCCGAGCCGGCAGCTGTGGGAACATAGAGAGCTAAGCCTGATACGAAAGGCAGATCCGGAGAGACGTGCCGCACACACGGCATAATTGTGGCGCAGCCATCACAAACCTCCCAAGAGCTCCGAAAATGCGCCTTCGGCTTCAAGTTGCCCATTGAGTTGTGCAACCTTCCAGTTTTACAGAATTTGGCGGCGATACTTCTCCGAGTGAGGCTTCAAACTGAAGGTGAACGGGTTCGGCTTGATGATGAGGTAGGAATTGTACTCATTCGACGGAATATCAATCTGTCTTCCAAGTTCATCGCTTGCCTGTGTGAAGTTGAAGCCCTAGGCCATGCCACCGCAAGCCTCAAGCACAACATCCGCTGTCAAGCTTTGCCCAATGCACGTTCGTCGACCGCAGCCGAACGAAGTATGATTGATGGTGATAGGTTAAGATTTGAGTGGCTCTTTATAAATCGGCCATCCGGGTTGGAACCATCTTTCGGGCCTGAGGTTAGCGGCATTTGGATCACTTCCTTCGTCGCGGCAGAAAGCCCTACATAGCAGTGTCAGTCATGGTAGAAAGCTACGGGCAGCCTTCCAAATCATTCAAGCGGGGTGACAAAAGAACCCCTAGGCAGGAAACAGCGGTCGTAAATATCGTCATGCTCTAGCTCGTGACCGACATCTGCGGAACATTAGATAAAGGATGCCTCTACTATAGACATATAATGTTTACTCGTAAGTACAGGTGGCCTCCATCCCAGACATTCCTTGATGACCGATCGCAGAATGGGCAATCTTGTTGCTTCAGTTGCTTCTGGCATGCGACCGTCGATTTTGGTCTCGAATTCTATGTAAACTCGAGCAAGCCACTGAGGGTGGTGGAGCATTACTAGAACAAATGTATGCAAGGGTGATCCCATAGGGAAGACCCCAGCAACTCCAATCATCTCCACGAGGAACGCACCTTCACAATCACCCATACCTGAGGACTTTTGCTGCTTCCCGAGGAATGACCGCATAGATGATGGGTCATTATGTCTCTTGTCGAAAATATCTCGACGACTGTTGCTTTGGAGAGCGACGAATCATTTTGCCTTCCGAGCACGTCTTTTGGCTTCTTTTGCCACCCTAGATATCCAATCTGGGAGTAGAAGGAGAGGAGTGAGTGCGTTTGTCAATGGACCAGCTGGTGACATTTGGTGTAACAGCGCCCATGCGTCGTCCAGCGAATCTTCCGCAGGGGCAGTGGAGCACCAGAGCAGTTTGACCAGTTGTTGGGGTCCTTCAACATGCTGGTAGCATTCTCTTTGTCTCAATGGACGGGTATTGATGATACTCCTCGTTGAAAGACTCAACGATGAGGTCATGTGCGTGTTCTGTTGATTCTTCCACGTGTCTGTAAGTAGAGTCAGTGGCATTCCCTCGATCGCGTTCTTCGAGATGCAGTCAGATTGCTTACTATTCCTGCCCATGAATGCAGGATACTCTCCTGTTCCAGTACCACTTTTCGAATCATATAGATGGAACACCTGGCCGATCTGAGTGGATAGCACCACATTGTCACAACAGCTCATGCGCAATATGCTCCTTGGTCACAGTTATGATTATCTTTCCCATTGCTCTGCTTTGATAGATCGAACTATACTGCTTAGCCCACGCGTACATGCCATACCAGGCATAATATCGTGCAGGGTGTCCATTTGAATCAAATTGAGTCAAATAAACCAGGTCAAATGCTTAGCAATTGACCTAAATCTGTACTTTCCTTAAAACCAAATCAAGACTTTGAAATTTAACAGATCCGTGAAAGTGAAGTTTTGGCGGAAAGGTCTTTTATTTTGAAATTTTAGGGTTAATTTTGATGAATAAATAAAAGTCTTGGCAGACTCCTCTTGCGAATTGAATTTGCAAAAAAAGACATATCCTCGCAACAAACTATTACTTAGTGACATTTGACTCAAATTGACCCCTGGGATTAGATAAGTAAATTAAATGGGTGTCATGATTATGTTTAGTTGATTTGATGGATAGAACGCGGCTGATGTACCTTTTATGTCCCGAGAATACAAGAGTCTCCCGGGGACCAAACTGAAATTTGCAATTTGTCTTGAGATATCATCAGATACCAGAATTTCAAGCTAATCTATGGCCGCGTTGCTCTCTTCGTATGTTTCACTAATCCAAACATCAGCTGAGGCTTTGCGACACCGTGGTGGACTCATCTGCGAGAGCTGCAAAGAGATTATCTGGACATCTGAGATTCTCGTGATGAGTGCGTCTAGGAAATTTCCAGGAACAGCTTGTACGATACCTATGCGAAAACCGAGGGCAAGGTGATGCGTGAAATTGTTATTGCAGATGGAACGATGCTCAAGGACTTGAACTATGTTGAACTTAGCTCCGCAGACTATTAAAGTACATTAGCACAGGCACTCAGTCATCTCAACCATGATTCCCATACATGATCAGGGCGTATAACGGTCTCTCCTTTTTAAGGTTGGTTTTCTTCATTCATATTATAGCACACCCGAACAGATATGAAAGTGCCTCCCGCTCATTGAGCCTTCCCACTCGAGCCGATCACATCCATCATCCACTCCAGGCGCTCCTGAATCAATTGCGTTCCCTGCTCCATCAATTCAGTCAAAGGCACCTTGCCAGCGTTTTCCTTGACATATTGATTGTATCGCCACAGCACAAGGTCGTTCACGTTTAGCCTGGTCATGCCATGTTGGACACAGGTACGTAGAATGTCCTCGGTAAACTCATTCGTTCCATGCATCACAAGCTGCACTTTGCCCTGGCTCGCCTTGCGTACACTGTCAAGTCTAGGACGCGTCAACCGCCCAATGTACTGATGTAAAGGGATGCGAGCACGCTAACCTCGGCAAATCCAATTTGATGTTTTCGATTCCGCCATATTTTCCGTGCACATTCCCAAACGCTGGCGCCAGAAAATCAATGCCCGTATCAATGAACTGCATGGCTTCCTCTGGTGTCGTCAATATGCCTTCCAAGTCTGCTGTATCCTTGACACCGTCTTCTCCACCATTGATCCTACCGGGCTCCGCTTCAGTCGCAATGCCCTGCTCATGGCAATGTTGAACCAGCTCAGCAGTCCGCTGTAGGTTTTCCTCCTTCCCGTAATGCGACATATCTACCATGATTGAGTCAAAGGGCATGCTAGCTGCGCGTTTGATGCTGGCCTCATCTTGTGCATGGTCCAGGTGTAGAGAAATGGGGACAGATGCTGAATTGCACGCATCAGCTGCAAGATTGACGAGAAGGCCATTGGCGTAGGTCATCGCCCATGGAAATAGAAGGATTTGAGCAGGTGAGCGCCTGCGCTCCGCCGCTCGAACCACTGCAACGATGGTCTCCAAATTGTACTGTGAAGACAGTTTTAGGGATCTGGATCAAGTGAAACAAACAAGACCACTACCGACACAACTCCTGGCACTCCATAACCACCTTGTTCCGCAGCTTTCAGAATATGTATGCTCTTGTTATTGGCTAAGTTGTTTACCATGGTTGCATAGGAGCCGGGCTAACTGCGGAAAGATAGTCCGATTTGAGCCCGAGTGGTCAGAAGAGCACGTTCAGCGGCGAATGCAACTGTGAAGAAGAAATATTTGCTCACCAGTTCAGGGGATTAGATGGTTTTCGCAGGGTCAAAAATCATCCCCATGCGGGGAAGCTGGGAAGGGCCGAAGGGCTCATTTAGAAAACCGGGGTCAATCTTGGCAACGGTAGCCGCTGACTTTGAAGTAAGCTTTGGTGTTGGGCAGAAGCAGATTCATATTATTATTATTTTTTGGCAAAAAGTGACGGTCCTCCGGTCCGATTCGAATCGTGAGACAGGGCACAGTTCCTCTTTTTCAGCATCTAGGCTAGAGGCCATGTGCTGGATAGACTCAGCAATGGCACCCTTGGTGTCATGAAGATCATTTTCAAATTATTGTATCTCTGGATACATCTGACCAGAAGAAGCACATCATCATGGGGAGACGGATTGTAGAGCGGTCGATACCCCGTCACAGGGCCTGCAGGATAGAGCAGTGAGGGGATGAAACTAAATGAGATCAATTCCTATTAGCACTCTGATGGTTTAGTCGTTTTGCTCCTCCTTCGAGACCCACTTGGACTGCCGGTCGTCAATATCTCGAGCCATATGAAGCCGGTTCCGTCCCGCTGCCGGGCGGTGTGGGGTAAATATCCTAGATATCCTCGGATCACACCATGGGGACCATGATCTCTTCAAGTCGACCTGTCTTTTGGCACGAGTCATGCACACGCCACCAAACCATGAAGCTCCATCGTGAAGTATATAGGGCGTGGAGGTCACCTTTGGCAGACAGCCATCCAGAGCATTGCAGATTATTGTCACGGGTTCCTCCTTCGCCAAATCAGCCAGATTTTCAAGGCCTAATCACAGTCCAAGATGCATTTTCTTATTACAGGAGCAGCCGGCTTTATTGGCCAACTGGTGGCACAAACCATCCTGAATGAAGAGCAATATACCGTACTGCTGACGGATGTGATTGATCCACCAATCCCAGAAGGCGTTAAATATCCCCAAAACGCCAAGATATTGAGAGCAGACCTTTGTTCGGCTGCTGAGTCGGTCGTTGAGAAGAACTTGGATGCTGTGTACATCTTTCACGGCATTATGTCTTCGGGGTCAGAGGAAAACTTCGAGCTGGGTATGCGTGTCAACGTGGAAGCCACACGCAGCTTGCTAGAGACTCTGAGAAAAATCTGTCCAGGAGTACGTGTGATTTATGCATCGAGTCAAGCAGTCTATGGCCGACCAGTTCCAGATATTGTGGATGAATCGATTAGGCCAACCCCAGAGTCGTCGTATGGTGCCGAGAAGTTGATCTGCGAGACCCTGGTGAATGATTACACAAGGCGAGGATTCATTGATGGCTTTAGTCTTCGGTTCCCAACCGTTTCCATTCGGCCAGGCAAGCCGACAGCTGCTGCGTCCTCATTCCTGTCCGGTATGATCAGAGAACCGCTCAAAGGTCAGGAATCGGTCATTCCTCTGCAAGATCGGTCCTTCACTTCATGGGTCTGTTCACCAAGGACGTTGGCTGGCAATTTGATGCACGTGTTGACTGTACCATCACTGAGCTTACCGTTACATGATCGACCAATCAACATGCCAGGGACAGGCGTGACCATCCAGGAGATGATAGATGCTTTGGAAAAGGTTGGTGGAAAGGACAAGTTGAAGCTGATCAAAGAGATCACAGATCCGGCGCAGGAAAAGATCTTGCGGTCTTGGGCAAACAATTTCGATAACTCGAAAGCGTACAAAATGGGGTTTCAGCAGGATCCTGGATTCGAGCAAGCAGTGATAGATTACAAGGAGTCCTTGAGATGATCAACAATGATCTCATATGAGACACTGCGTTACCTGAGAGAGTTCAGGTTCATCCAAAGGCATGACCTTGACTGTAGGATGAGCTCTTGATGTCTGGGATATGTCTTCCTGGCAATACAAACGCTGTTCTGGGTATCTTGTTGCAAACTGTGCCATTGCTACATGGCTGAGACGCCATCGCTAATGCACAGAAAACCCACCGTAACTCCATGACTTGTTCAGGGGCCTTCGTAAGATCAATCCTTCCTATGTGCTGAACACATCATGCCAACATGCAGTTCTCTGATCCATTCAAGCCTCCTGCTGAGCTACTGTGCCTGGAGCTTGAATTTGCGCCTCGGCACCACCACTGCCGATGCCCCAAGCGACCTCGTCAACCAGATCAGCCGCCTCATCTTCTGCAATCTGCTCGTTGTAACGAATACCAAATGGTCTAGCCTCAGGACGATCTTTAGGAACACCATGCCAAAACGGCTCGTCAAATCTGACCGCACATGCACCACCTTGGTAGGTAGAGATAGCAGGATAGTAACCAAGCGTACCATCGTCGTAAGGTTCTTTGATCTGCTTCTTAGCCCCACTTACGTCAATGTAGCTGCAAGGGGGGAGGAAAGCAAGCAGGTGTTCGAATACAACGCCCTGGTATTCACCATTAAGCCACATTTCGATCTTTGAGCCAGGAAGGGTACGGAAGTAAGGAACTTCACAGTTAGGATGAATATCATTGGTCATGTCCCAAGGTTTGGCAGTCTCAGGATTGATCGTGGCTTTCTTACTTGTCTCGATCGGAACGGCACTCATGTCGTAGATATTTGGTGAATACTCGCTGGACTCATGGTAGATGTTGCCCTTGTAGTAGACAGGATAGCGATCGCGAATGATGTCAAGATTTGCTGGTGTGGTAGGATCCGGCTTCGCGGTCTCCTCTTCAGCAACCTGAACAGCCTTCTTCTTTCCCTTGCCCTTGGATGCGGATTTGCTGGCTTTTTTGAACTGTTTAGGACCGACCTTAAGTTGAGGCGCATCGGTCGCGTGATCAAAGGTACCTTTTGCAACTTTCTGGTGAATATCGAGGGGAGGAAGGGTGATCATAAGACCAACCACGTCGCCATCTTTGAGGTGTCCTGGATTCTTCGGTTTAACCATCCAGTACTGAGACTGAAAACTTCCATTGCCATACCTGCTGGCAGCCGCGGCAGTCCTGACACCATAGCTGTAACGATTGGAGCCAAGAGACTGACCATAGTGATGTTCGCGACGGGCAAAACCAATGGTCAGACTCCCTCGACCTGTATCAGTCATGGTCTTGGTGCGGTTTTGTGTAACTGCAAGCGGCTCGGTACTCAGTTCTTTGATTGGAGCAGTTGAGATAATTTTGGTTTCATAGTAGAGTGTACCCTCGCGTGCAAAGACATTGGCTTTGGTGGTAAAGTGACCGCTCTCGCCGTTCATTGCCAACATGTCCTTGCCAAATAGGTGAAGCAGCTTGTCCTGGCACTGAGGATGCTCTTCGTCGCTGAGACGTGCGTGATAGGGAGGGGCTTCGACATTGTGGAAAAGACCAGTGCTTTGGTCACGAATTGCGCGGCAGTAGTGGTGTTTGTCCTTGGACTCCAGACTATAGTCAAGTCAGAACCAGGTGAGAATGCATTGATGCAGTGTTGGGCACCCACTGTGGACCAAGTCTGTAGAAATCGAATTTCTCACCTGTCTTTTCGTTGATCTTCGTGTGGTGGAATGTCTTTGGGATCTCTTTTGGTTTCTCAAACCATTTTGGATCCGGTTCAGGAAGCTTGTACTTGGGTGGAACAAGCTGACCAGAGATAGGCTCGTCTTTCTTCACGGAAGTGTCTTTGACCTTCTCAGTCGGCTTCTTCTCCCGCTGACCTCGACCAGAGGACAGATCCATGCCAGCCACAACTTCAGGTCTGGAAAGATAATGTGCACATGCGGCCGGATTTCACTGAGAACCATGCGACTAACAAGAGCGGAGCGGGTAGAGCCGGAGCTAGTCAGCATACTACTACATTGTTACATACTACGTACTTACTAAGTACGTAGGACTATGTGGTCATGGCATCGGGTTGCAGGTACCATGTCCGTCGCCAGTGTAATCCACACTTTGCTCACCGGCGAACCAGCTGAAGTTCATTCCCACTGCCAATGGAAAACTCGAAAGCCAGGGCTACATTGAACATCACCTTCGATGTGAAAGACCCGCGGAATTTTACGGCCTCCTGAACAAGGTTGTAGCTGACGTCCGAGCAGGTAGGAGGTAATGTTTTTGCTTCGCAGAAGGATAGTAGTGTAAAGTGCTGGTGCTTTGAGCAACAGTAAAAAGGTGATGTTACAACACAACAAGGGTGATGGTTTGACGTTAAATCATTCTTCTTCTTTCCCTCGCTAAAGGGATGGGTTATGCTAAAGGTAACCCACATCACGCCTTAACCCCAACACCTCTCATGGTATCATCTCCATCATCGCCTACCCTTTCATCACCATCACTGACATCTTCCCTATCGAGCTGCTGCACAGTACCCCTGCCCCTCCCAACCAACAGCTCCCTCCTAACCTCAGGCCCAATGTCCTTGTGTCCTCTTACAAGGAGGAGGTCGAGTAATGCCTCCCGTTGGTCTTCTGTGATATCATTCTTGTATCTTTGTGCGAATACAAGAAGAGATTGATGCCACAAAACCGGAAGCTTATCATCCTTTACAATCTGCTTGGATTTGTTCTGTACACCTGACATCTCTGTATCACCATCTTCCGCTGCTGATTTGGAATTTCGAAACCGCAGGAAATGAAAGACAAGTGCATCCACTGCTTTGTAAGGCAATGCATACTTCTTCTCTAACAGAATACGGATGAAGATGTTACATGCGCCAGCACTCTCGGTGTTGACCGTCGTACTTTGATCTGCTGCGATCTCACACAGTCGAAGCAATGCCGCCGCAGAATGCAGGACCGGTATGCTGACACGAACTAGGACGCTCGATACAATGTTGGCCTCTCGTAGTGTGCAGTTTTCAATGACCAGAGGGAAGAGAAAGCCTTTAAAGAAGGCGGCTGGTTTGTAGAGTGCTTTCTTGAGTGCGTTGTATAGATGTACGTTCAGCTTCTTGGTCTCGTAGATATCTTCTTTCACGCGATCTAGGAGCACGGTATTGAGATAGTGTTGCGCCACATCAGGCGGGGCTGAGATAAAGATCTTGGTTGCAGCGAATACAGCATTAGGCGTCCAAGATTCGGGCCGGGTGATCGTGAGCAGGTCTGGCCAAGATGGGAGGGTGGGGATGATCTTGAAGGGTTTAGGAAGCGGACCGGACTTGTAACGAGATAACAACTGGCCACATTTTGTAAAGACTTCCATGACTTTGGGCGGTATCTCGGAAGCAAGAGACGTAGCGTCATTGATAGAGGCGTTTTGCAGGTTTGCTTTGCGCTGGTCGAGGGCTTCTTTCTCGGCGATGCGTTGGAGTATCAGGTCGGCCAGATTCGTTGTCTGATTGTCCTTGCGAACCTCGTCTCCTGCACGTGGGCAATCCTTTCCTGCCACTCGGCCACTTGTGGAGAGCGTAGCAAGCGATGGTGCTACTGTTGCCGCTGTGTCATCTTCCAAAAGGAACTTATTATAAACCGCGAGGTCACTTGGATCAAGATCCTCCTCCTCAACATCCTCGTCCGGCATCCACTCTGCCTCCTCATCACGATTTATGTCATTCCCATCTTGTTCATTATCAGAGACTTCGACCGCAACTCTTGAGTCAAAAGCGAAGGCAGCATTTGGCGCACCAACTGCTCCGATTCTATTCGTCCCCGATGCGTCTTCCTCAACGAGATCTTGCGCTATAGCGAGAATTTTGCGCGAAGATACCGCATCAATGTAACTATCGCCATTCTCTTCGAACGACCGAGATTTCCGCTTTCCGGTTGTGGAGACTGTGGATTTGGTGCGAAGGTGGGCAGCGGGTGAAAGATCTTCGGCCAGAGGGTTGTGTCTTCGGGTTACCGGTCGACTCGGTGCTGAAGATGACAAAGGTGGAGGCATATTTAACATTTATTGCTTCGATGCCAGCAGAGCGCAGGTGCGCCCTCAATCAAATGTAGCAATTTCTGGGGGAATCAATTTGTATCATCAACCAAATTCTTTGAGAAATGGCAGTTTTTCACGACTCCTTGCCAAGAGTTCCGGTTCAGGTTGCAATTTACACATGTATTTCCAGCAAATCACGATTACGTTGCGGAGTAGTCCTCACCTTTACTCTTATGTCCTCAAAAAATATGCAAATTTAACTCTTGTTACATGTATTTAGTAAGTATGGGGAGATATAGGATTCGAACCTTGCAATCTCTATTGCAGCGCCTCGTTTTGTTAAAAGTCTGCATCGAGAATGGTTTCTGCATAGCCAACACTCTTCTTCAAACTCACAGTTGGCTTAGCTTCAAGATCAGTGTACAGGTGTGCAATCGCAAGCTTCTTCCTCTTACTGGTAGCTAACAGTTGGGCTGTTTGACCCCACTTCTGGCTTGCCTTCCATTCGGCTTAAGTTGTGCCAATGCTCGAACGTCGTCCATGCTCAGACCTAACAAGTCCCAAAGATGATGTCACTAATATAGTGCTCGTGGTGTGTTTTGCTGTCATACCATTCATCGCGATCACCTTGACGCTTAGGCAGTGATTGAACAGCTGAGATGATGATAAGCTCGAACAAGGCACCGATGGTCTTTCACTCAGAGTAAATCAGTATGAACTAGGCGGGTTGACATGTTGCCTCTGCGTTAGGTATGTGGGTAGTTAACTGAAGAGTGGCATCAATCATGAACAATCTTGCTGTGGACGTTCAAGACTAACTTTCGATGATTGGTTGACTACTGTGTAAGCTAATTTCTCGCCTCCTGCGGAAGAGAGATCCACTAGTTCCGGAAGGTTGTACGTACTACATCGAAGGCGTGGCCCGACTCCGCGAAAGTGGCTTACTGAACTCCGTCCCTTCCTAGTAAATCTCCGTATACGAGTTGCCTTGTCATCAATTGACAATGCGGCTTCCGAAAAAATATTCAGCTTTTCTTTGATTACTGTACACTTCTGGCTAGTAGGATTTGTTCACAAGCCCAACAGCGAACTGCATATTTCAGCTTCTGTAGATGATGTCTCAAATAGGGCGTTTCTACGAAAAGAACCCCAGATACGCTTGTGCAGGAACTGTGTCCACATTCGGAGTATTCGGACCACATTTGACATGTGATAACGACATGGCCCGATAAGATGGATCTTCACGGCTCTTCGGAGCGGGAGTCGGAATGGAAAGTTGTTGCACAACCAACTGAACAGATCACAACGCTAGTTTTAAAAAATACCCACCCTTGTCTATGCATACGGAGAATAATGGACTTCGTATGCAGTCGGTATGCAGGCATCCATCGAAGGCAGCCTGATATACACTAGTCATTGATCGGAACAGATCAGAGGAATTCAGGTACTCAAGTAACTGGCCAAAATCCCTCTTGGGGCCAATAAACATAACTACATCACGTGATTCACCTAAGCTTGCAGACCCTTCAATGTCAGGACGGACTAATCTGCTCGATCGTCTGTGTAACGTTCTTGATGCAGAACGGACCTTCATAGCCTCTAACCATCCGGCCTTTTAATCCTCTCAACGGACTACCCTAACGCTTTTTAATGGCTAAAGGTTCAATTCTGATCAAATTGTTTGCCAGGTCCGTTGTTAGGAGAGGGTTCGATGTGCATTGAAATACGTTAGGCGATCCCTCCGTGTGAACAGAACAGCAACACTCACTCTCACAAGTCATCCAGTAGTGAATACCTACTGCTAATATGGCCTCCACAAACGATGCTCTCTGGTTCCTACAACCATTTCAGATTTTCAGCACATTGGGTGCTGCAGTGAACTTTGGTAGGTGTTCTCTATGAGCTTGGAAACGTTCAATCAACCGATCAAACATCCATAACCCGTGTTCCCACAGAAAATAGTATGTTAACTTGCTGCCAAACAGGTGGATCCGTCCTTCAAAGTCCCTTGATTATGCCAATGCTCCAAATGCCAGAAGTCCCGGTCAAATACGCTGGTCAACAAACAGCGTACCTCCTGCACCACAGGTCCGTGAAGCCAATCCACCGTGCCAAGAAGATGTGTCCGCACATAGAAAACCTAAAATACGAGACTGCCTACACCAATTACGAAGCAGAGCCCAAGATTCAGATGACTAACAATTGTTTACAGCGAGCATATCTTTCCCCCTCTCAACGCCGCCTGCACTCTCTCGAACCTCATAACAACCATCATTGCATTCCTCAATCGCAACAGCCATTCCGTGGCCAGCGCGAAGCTTCCGTACCTGTACATGGCCACGGCAGCCAACATCGCCACGACTGCATACGCGCTGCTGATAATGGTGCCCATGAACAGGAAGCAAACAGCCATTGCTGAGAAGCTCAAGGATAGGGAGAATGAGAATGAAGAAAAGGAGCTTAGGAGGCTGCAGAACAGGTGGCAACGACGGAATTACGGAAGAGCGATGATTATGATTGCTGGGAGCGTGGCTGGCATGATGGGTCTTTTGGCACAGCATGCATAGCGCTATGCTCTAAGGAGTCGTAGTAGTCTGGCATGGTCATGGGATGATCACTCCAATGGTGGCGAGGCTTGTCGTGGGATGTCTTGTCGACGCTGGACGAGGGCTGTGGTCACATGATCAGATCTTCTAGCACCTTCGGCATGGGGCTTTAGATAGGTTCTCTTGCTGGGACTCACTTGTGTGCTCGTTTAATACTCACTCACTCAACTGTACGATTCCCAACTATTTCTGCTGGGAGTGTTACTCTGCTATACTTGTGCCTCACCAACGCCTCTCTGCCATATGTGGCTGTTTAACTCTCCACCTCTCCGGGGTACTCCAAGCATTTATGCACAGCTCTTCCCCTAAGGGTATGGCACTTTTAAATGTCGAACAACCTGAACATAACATAGTGTGTTGACGGCAGTGTTACTCAACTCTAAAAGCATGAAACCCTTCAGAACTTCCTCTTCCATCGGTTTCATATCTGCCTTTTCAGAAAAATGGTGGCCAGACCATTTTCGTCGTCAACAGCCCTGCAAGTCATAATTATCATGCATACTGATGTAATGCTCGCATGTCTTCAAATCGAGACTACACCACTCGGCTGTTTAACGGCATAGGTAAATTGCTTGCCTTATCGTTCATGGCAAAATTACCAAGATTCTGGATCCTGCAATCATGATTCCATCCTTGAGCTTGCCGCCAATATTGCAATCGCCGTCTCTATGTCTGCGGATTCGTTATTAACGGCACTCTGAAATTTCTGTTTGCCAGACAAGAGTGGAGGGAAAAGACAATATGAAGGGCTTAGAGGGAAAATAACAATTACATTGAATCGATCGTACTGAAAGATTCGTGAATATGGCAAAATATGAAAACTAGAGATGAAGGGGGAGAGGAACAAGTTGTATGTGGTAGGTTTACCTAAAAAGGGCGCACATTTAACCCTCATCAACCCCGATAGAGCTGACAGAGTCGACCCGCCCATTCTTGAGTCTCAATAGATATGAGAAGACGAAAAGTAAGCTATTCATGTCAAGCAAAAGATAAGAAATGACATAATGAAGTGAATATGAAGTACACGCCGTATTGGTTAGGAGTAAATCTCAACTCCTTTCGCATCCCTACCCAATTATTGTTCTTGTAAATGCAAATAACGTAGTCGCCTGTGACTGAAACGACAAAACCAATGAACGCTGCTGCAATAGTAAGGAGTTTCAAGTTGTCGTGAACTACTATGGAGTGCAGATGCTGATTTGTAGAGATAGAAGTCTCAAAAGGCTAGTGCAAACCCCATAATAAGGGCTAGCAAAATTGTTGGCCTGGTTTATCTTTAGAAAAGGATTGATGGGGATTGTTGGATACAGTACTGTATTCTGGAAAACAAGTTCCTAGGAAAAGGTCTGGCTTTATAGACGAGGGAGAATAGTAGATATACGATACTATGTGCCTTTGTTTGGGGGGGGGGGGGGGGGGGGAAATAAACGCGCTACAACTTTTGACAGAGCTCCACAAGCCCTTTCAAATGAAATTACCAAGCGAAACGATCGGGTTGTATTAATCAGGTTTCTGTACAGCGCCATTCACTGTCAATGCAACGAGAACGGCACAATTGGAAGAAGAAAAGGACTCATGCTGAAACAAGGACGGAGCGAGGTACATCGGAAGGACAACTGGGTGAAAAGTACAGAAAATTGCATCAGATAGAATAAGAGCATAGCGTTGTATGAGCCAATACAAGCGGAGAACTTTCTTCTCATAGATACTGTACCTCATGAAGTGCAGAGATGGAGTTGTTGAGTTCCAGGAGGACGGAGAATGGGGGCCCAACAAGGTGAGAACGCATCCAGGAGGAGGACGAGTTGTCTATAATTAGCCTTCCCTCGCGTTTGCTTTCTTGAGCTACCACAGACATCACCAAGGCTGAGGAGGTCCGCAGAGATCTGTAAGGTTAGCGTGCTTCTTATTAGTGAATTGAGACCAGATTGAGCATCAAGGTTGATCGCGACCTTTGAGATTGATCAAGTCACGTTCCGTGAGCACCACCGTAGGGCACGGTCGAACCGCTCTTGCTGAGCCTCTGAAACAAACCCCAAGTCTTTCTGAATTTTGGCAGTCAGCCGTGCACTCACCTACATGTGAATCTCGGAAGTGTTCTTGTTCTGGGAACTCCTGGCGGTTGGCCGTTGAGTTCCGCTGTTCTGACTGGCAAGGCTTCAGAAAGTCAAAAGACGCAGCGCTGATGGACCTTCGGACCGCCAGTGCCACCAACTTAAATTGGGGTAGCGTGCCAAGTACTACCTTGGCATTGTTGTCCTCATTCAGTTTAGTAAGCTGAGCGTGGATACTAGTATGTGATTCTTACCGGGAGAAGGGCTCTGAAAATGACGCGGTATTGGTCCTTAGTGACTTTGCAGACATTTTATTATTTTAAGGATTATCAGGAGGCTCAAATGACCATAATTTAGCCATAATTTGAGCGTCATTCTCTTAAAATGACGTCTGAAATAGCATAATTTTATTAGATTCCAGATGTTTAGCTGCATAATAGTATGTAAACTAGATCATATCACAGTTAGGCTGAAACTAAGCACACATTGATGTTAATTTAGGCATAGTTTTTAGAGGGCCTTCTCCTGCTAAGTTCTAGATATGAGATCCAAGTCCAGCCATTGGGTTGGAATTTGCCTTTTGACTTGATTGGATTATCACACATGAATCTTTCTCAGCCAGAGCTCCTAGTAGCTACATATCACCATCAGCTAGAAGCAACATATCCGCCAGCACGAAAAGGGTTTTGCGTTTTTCGAAAAAGCACATTCATCTCTTATGATGCCGGCGTTGCAGTTGAATAGAATGGGTTTTGATCTGAAGTTGAGCTTGACAGAAGACCGAGTCCCAAATCCGGACTATCTACCGGTGCCCGAAGACCGCTACAGAGGTCTACATGAAGAACAGATCAGGGCCTGGGGCAGTGTGTCCATTTGAATCAAACTGAGTCAAATAAACCAAATCAAAAAAAGTCCGCCATCAAAATCTGATTTGATTTGACGAAAGTACGGATTTGTTTTATTTGCCAAGCATTTGTGAGATTAAATTCCTTAGAAGTCCTCTTAACAAAATATTGCTTACTAATATTTGATTATATTGTGACAAATAAGTCAAATTAAATCAAATCAACCTCTGGGATTAGATAAGCAATTCAAATGAGGGTCATGATTTGGTTTATTTGATTTGATGGATACACTGGCCTGGGGCCAGAACCCAGAGCGCACGGACGGGTGATGCTTATCCACTCACACCTTGCAACTCGCACAATGGGTGCCACCCAGCGATACTATACATCGAAACTAGGAAATGATTCGGACCTCCGCATCCTCTTTATCACTCGGCATCAAAGCAATGCCATGTAAAGGACCCGGAGCGCTGATAAGATCTGAGAGTGAACGCAGCTGATTATAGCTATAAAAAGTTTCCATTCATCCTGTTGTCAGCTCAACTTACCTTTAGACCTTTGCACACCAAACAGTAATCATGTCCAAAACTCTCCTCATAACCGGAGCGACGGGTAAGCAGGGCGGCTCGGTGATCGATGCCATCCTCTCGAACCCTGCTCAAGCTTCCAAATTCACGCTGTTAGGCGTCACACGCGACGCCAACACGGCGAGCGCCAAAAACTTGCCGCTCGATCGCCTTCAATCAAACTCGTCCAAGGCAACCTCGATGATATTCCTAGCCTGTTCTGCGCCGCTAAGGAGCTCGAGCAAAAGCCTATTTGGGGAGTATTCTCGGTGCAAGTATCCATGGGTAAGGGCGTCACTGTCGATGGCCAGATACAGCAGGGCAAAGGCCTGGTCGATGAGAGCATAAAGCAAGGCGTCAAACATTTTGTGTACAGCAGTATAGAACGAGGCGGAGACGAGGTGAGCTGGGACAATGAGACGCCAGTACCTCATTTCCAGACCAAATACCATATTGAGCGACACCTGCGGGATGTTGCGGGGGATAAGATGGGCTGGACAATCTTACGTCCCGTTGCCTTCATGGACAACCTCCAACCCAACTTCCCGACTAAGGTGTTCATGACAGCACTACGCGACACCCTGAACGGCAAACCGTTACAGTGGGTTGCTACCTCCGACATTGGCTTCTTCGCCGCACAGGCCCTTGAAAAACCCGAAGAGTGGGACCACAAGGCTTTCGGCTTGGCAGGTGACGAACTCGACTTTGCCGGGCTTTGCAAGGTGTTTGAGAACAAGACCGGCGCCCCAATTGGCACGACATTCGGTCTCTTAGGTAGTGCGCTAAAATGGGGTGTTCCTGAGATGAACCATATGTTGATGTGGTTTGGGTCGGATGGGTACAAGGCTGATATCCAGAAGATAAGGAGTATACATCCCGCAATGATGGACATGGAGACTTGGTTGGTGAAGAGCAGCAACTTCCGGACCATCTAGTTGGATAAGCCGACGTTCAGACTGTATTTGCTGTTGAGGGACTCGTGTTTTGTCTTATTGAGACCTGATTGGCTGGGAGGACTACAGTTTGCAATGGCTTCAGGTGGCCTGCCTGGCTTCCCACTTCTCGATGCTAAGCTCTTACAAACATTGTAGCACTCCGTCTCTCCGATCAATTGTCTTGGACGAATGGGATCTGCGTACTCGCCTCAATTCGTGGCCCAACATGATGATTGCTCCGCGTAACTTAGTACTAAGTATTTCGAGATCAGGTTTTGGAGCTCTACTTAGTTCCTCCATTCCCATGCTACATAGTAGTGAACGTCCGATCTAACCTACTCAGGCAAACACACATATTCGCAGAACATCAAAACCAAGCAGTACAAGTCCCTCAGCTACCCAATTTCGCGTACATAATACCCCATCTCCACAGGAAATCATTCGTGATCCTTCTCTATCTCCCGCACACGACTCGCAATTAAACTCAAGTATCAATATTAGAGAGTCTCTGAGGAAGCGAGATACAGTACCCTACGACATATCTCCGGCCCGATGCGCGATGCAGACGGCAGACGAAACCGCTATTATGTAAGGTTCGCGTTGCGTAATGTGGCGCGTACTACGTAAGCCCTCTACCTTGTCGGCGTACGCAATGCATCCTGACACACATTATTGGCTTGAGCGTTGCCGACAGAACAGGGTAAAAGCCACAGAATGATCTAGGTCAAGGTCCTGGAGATATCTGTGTATAACGGCTGCGTGCGTAACAGGGCTATAGAGTTTGGGAATTTTTTAACGCTAGGGGACTGGGCCCATGTACAGAATTCGAGTCGCTGTTGGTATGGTATTTATCGACAAAAACGATGAGAGTGATAACTAGCAAACCTGCGCTTTTAACGTACCAGCTAATCTGTCAGTAAAAATCATGTCAAGAGCAACATGACTTTAGGTTCAAGCATGTGAAACACGGGCCTCCGCTCTTGGCATTCCCTCTACCGCACTCAAGAATCCTTGGCTTGGATTCCTAGACCAACCATTGCTGTGGACGCGTGACGCCAAGGCCACACTAAGCCCCAAAGGGGCTTCCCTCCGCAGCTAACTTTATAACGTGTGTATGTGTGACACAGATTTCTTCTTTTCTGGTCCCTGTGGGATGCATCTTCGTAATTCCCTAAAACAATCCATTGTGTGTCCTATTTGCAATAGAACCTGTAAGTAAAATCCGACAATTTGGAAGTGCTGTAGCGGAATGTTAAGGGCGATGCGAATTATGAACACGGACGTCGGGCACTTGGCACCAAGCACCTGTTGATTGAATGATCGGAGCGAGCTACTTGCACAGATGGATTCTGCAAGGAAGCTAGTTACTGTTCAGGGCACTACGTAGGCCGCGTATACTCCTGTGGTAGTCCATCGTATGAGAGATGGAACCCTGATCCAAGCCATGTGAAGTTTGCTGTTTTTACTGTACCTTCACCAACACCCATTGCACTCACCTGCCTTAAGATGGCAGAATCAAATCCACATATCTCCATAACCCCTACCTTTCTCACCCTACCCATCGAGCTCCGTCTACAAATCTACTCTCAAGTCTTTGCCGACAGCAGAATCCGCCTCCCGCTTCCTCCTGACCACGACCGCAGAAACAAAGACCTCATCCGAGGAGAACAGTCACAGCCCCACCATCTCCAGTTCGTCTGTCGCCAAATCTACCTCGAAGCCCACCCAATTTTCTACGGGACAGTGACATGGCACTTCCTTCACCAAGACGCGCTCGATTCATTTTTCGGGCCTTGTGAAGACCAACAGCGACAGCAGCGCATCCGCTGGATCAAGCATATCCGATTGTCGTGCGTGGATATGCTGAAACTTGTTCCGTTTCCAGAATTAACGGCGCTGAAAACGGTTGAGATTCAAGTAGATGGGGCTGCGTATTTCAACTATGCGGACGGAGGAGGAGCAATGTTTGATGTTCAATTGAGTGCCGGGGAGCTGTCTGCATTGGCGAGGGAGACGATTAGGGAGACTTTGGCGGCAGCTTCGGAATATGTAAGAGACGTCTATGAGAGTTTAAGATGCCAGAGGAAGTCGAGCGTGCTGTTTCTTGTTGATCACACTTTCTGCGGTAAGACCGGATTAAGAAGAATCGTAAGTCGGATCAAAGCACCCAACTCCCTTAGCTTTTATTTCATTTGCTGGCCAGAGGCTGTGCTGAATGATTGTTGGATGTAGCGCTGTCTCCTCGATCCCTGTGGGCCGAGCCACCTTACGCAGTCACAACGAGATTTAAGACACTTTCGCGCAGAGGTTGGGGGGATGGAAACTCTCTGGGTATCTTAAAGCCGAAGTGAGATCTGTGGTGGAATCATTAAAGGGTTAGTTCTGCCTCTTACCATAGTACTTATGCTCTTTTGTTTCCGAATCTGGAAGTAGCATCATTGATTAGCGCTGCTAAGCTTTCCTGCTATTGTACCTAACGAGCTTCTATTAAGCGTTTCTGTTTTGTGGTTCAAGAATCTCGATTTTCTTGGGGTTAACTTGCATGGCTTGTTCAGGATTCAATCTGCTGACGATAGACTATGCGATCTTAACAATGAGGCTACTCCCGGTTTGACGCTATCATCCTGAGTGCATTTGTCCTGCCCTGCCTTCCTCTTGTGGCCCAGAGTTGTGTATGGCACTCCCTAGAGTTTGAACTGGCTATAATCTGTCCTGATGATACACTTTTAGAATACGACCTTTGATTGTTCCGCTTCAGCGGTATTGTCAGGGTGCATTTTGCCCTGCCCGAGCTTCCCGTTGTTCATGCTCCATCCTTAAGCATTCACGTTTCTTATCCTGCTGTTCACACAGCATTAGTGTATTTGGTAATCCTGAAGTACGTGGTTTGCGCAGAATTCAGTGTCTGATAACTGATTAGCCCGTGCTTGCATTTGTGATATTTCTCGGTCGGTGCTGTTATTGGATGGGACCGTTAATGGAAAGGTAAGGCTAGAGTGAATGACATCTTGAAGTGATTGGTCCTCGGCAACCATTTCATGCCAGAATGAGTTAATAAATTCCATATTCTCCCAACCGTCAGGAGTCTCAAGTACGCTGAAGTCTGGAGTGAGAGGGGAAGGGGCGTTGGCATCCCTAACAGGCTCCTGCTGCTCATGGTAACTATCTTGGATCCTGTGGTCATGATGCTCGAGTCGATGGATTGTTGGTGGCACGACAAAATCTTCAGCTTGCATGTGATGCCTCTGGATATGGTCTTTCAATGCCCGACGGGAGGAGAAGCCTCTGGTGGAGAAATCGCATTTGCTACAGGTGAACTGCCTCCTGTGGCCCGCTTCATGCTCCTCGAGACCGTTGAAAGATTTGAACCCGTCTACGGAGCGCTGGCAATCTAACATTCTACAAGCTAGAAACGGACGTACATATACGTCATGAAATTGACTGAGGTCTTGAGCGCTGATGTAACCAGGGAGATTCGTAACATTGTTTGAATAAAGGTTCTTAACGATCATCCGTACTCTTGTCTCAAAGATGCTGAGTATAGTGGGGTCGGCGGTCTCTCGCCATTCTTGATAAGCTTGACGTTGTCAGCTTTGGTTCGGTTCTATTGGTGGGAACGCTACCTTTCAAGGTTTGAAACGTATGCTGCTTCTGTGCGTCCAAATGCTGAAATTGGGCAACATCTCTTAGGAACACTTGCAGGATTGGCTGACTGGACAAATGAGGGATATTAGCGATAGTACTTTGCACATGGCTGTTTGATGTAGAAATCGTAGTGTCCGTGGCTCGTAAGAGACTGATTTGGTCCTTGTAAACTGAAGACAAAGTCGTGAGCTCCGCGATTAAACGATTAAACGATTCACTTCCTGGATCCCTGCAGTGATGAAGATAAACCCGGATATGATATGCCCAAAATTGACTTGCATAGGCAAGCAAGGCGAAAAATCCTTGTATAAAACACGCATTGAGTGACTTCTCTGCCTGCTCAATGTTCCCAGTCAGCAAGTCGGGGCGGATACTAGCGAGCAGTGCTGTGCAAGAGAACGCCATATCGAAGTGAGCGGCGCTGAGTTGAATGAAAGGACCACTGCCATCGTGAAGCAGATACCTGTTCTACTTTAGAATACAGAGCCAAATATCAGGAACCTACTAGGACTTACTCCTTTGCCGAGAAATGAACTATCTCTATGATGTCACCGTTTCTCTCCTCCAGAATGGGACCGCAAATGTCTAGAATTGGCTTTCTAAACTGCGACACTGCATCTATTCTTGTGTGGCCAGGATGGAGACTCAAACCGCATTGCACTTCACATGCTCTGAGGGGCCGGCGGGCGCACGCAACCCATCGCAATATTCTGCATGCATGATCTCTTAACGTAGGACTTTGATTCCTCTCGATATTGGTTAAGATGCGATCGTATCTGCAGGCGAATCAGCTAGTAAATACAAGGTTCTAGAAAGGTCCCTAACGCCTCATTGAGACCATTCGGCAGTTTATCAACGGCTTCTCTGAACGTGCCCAGCGAACCCTGATCTCTGAGGTCGCTGACGACCAGACGGACCCAGAGAAACATCCCTGAATTCACATTAGGTACAACCTAGAAATCTTTGAACTCTGCATCTCTGGTCACATACCATCGGCTTTCGAGGCCAGCCTGTTCTCAATCCACTTAGCATCCTCGTCGGGCACAAATTCGATATCGTTGCATAGTTTCCTGACCTCGTTCTTCACATAGAGCTTGATAGCGTTCTCTGTTTCACCTCGTAGCAGGATCATAGCTTTCGGATCAGCCACAAGCCTACTGCATATCAAGATCTTGAACGACTTCCCAACCGTTTCATGAATGTCGGCGAGCACCTTGGGAAGTTCTTTCTGAACTTCCGGGGCACACTCGTCCAAACCGTCTATAACAATTCGGGCACAGGAAACTCCTGCCAAAATGTCTTTCAACATTTTCTTCATTGTCCTAGAAGCTTTCCCAGACCATTTTTCATAGTATTCACTGTGCACAACAGGCACAATCTCTGGGTGCTGGCGTAGAATCTGCACTGCAGAGGTGCACAGAATGTTGCTCATCGTATCCCTGTCAACCATTCTGTGGTTGCAAAAGTAATATGATACGGTAACCTGCTGCTCCTTGCATTTGAGATGCTCGATTATGAAGGAGCTAAGAATTGTCTTGCCTGTTTGAACATAAGCAACGCATTGTACATAAGTTTCTCCTCTCACCTGAACCAGGTTTGCCCTGCAACCATATCAACCTTGAATCAGCGTCCCCGCCACACCACGTCTGGAACTTAGGCTTCGATTTAATCCAATCACAAGTTTCAGGTTGGCGCGAGTCGCTGAGTCGCTGTAGTGTTTCATCCTGCCTGTCCTCGTCAGCCGAGAGCCATCCGAGAACCTCATGAACCATTGCATTCTGCCTCCTCCGTTCGTAGTCATTAGCATCACGCTCCGCCCTCTCCCGAGCCTCTTTCATATGCTCAAAATGGAGAGCAGCAGCCTCTTTGTCAACGTTGTCTGTGTTTTTCTCCAAGCTGTTCATAATGGCTTGAATGCGATATTCGAACATGCCCCAGCTGACGGCGAACATGAGATGCCAAGATCGTCGACGGAAGATTTTGTAGGCTCTTTGGTGGAAGTCGAGAATATCGACATAGACCAAGCTCAAGGATCTTCGGAAGTCATCACTGTCGCCGAATATCGCCCGAAGCCTGTCAATCCGAGGAACAACATTTGCGATGTCCCGATAAGTATCGAGCAGTTTGTCGAATACGTGGATATACTGGCTAGAGAGCTGTGAGAAGTCAGGAATGGAGAACGCAGCTAGTCAAAAGAACAATACCTGAAGCATGAGTTTCATAGGGCCCTCATAAAGTCAACCTTGTGTTTACGAGGTACCGGAATACCTACCCAGACAAACGCCATTGGAGGGTAGCCCTGGCAGAAAACCTCGATAACCCTCGAATAGCTTTCCATCGTATTTAGGAATGGCTGTATCCTCCGGACATTCTTCATAGCTTTGCGTGCTGCCTGATCTTGTTCGATCACGACAGCCGCAGACCAGACATCTTTTAAAGTGGTATTAAGGAAATCCTGCGCGTCTTGTGATGAAAGAGACCCCTTTAGCTTATCGAATGCCTTCTCGATGGTGAGGCTGCTCGTACACGCCATCTCAGCCTCAATATCATCTGTCTTTAAGGATAAGAACCATCATTGGTATTGGCGTGGCCGGTGTTGAGAATATGTAGGTACCCCAGAGAAATGTATATGAGATCGAGGTGTTCTTCGTAGGCAAGGCTCAATGGTGTATGAACTAAGAATTCCCGTACCCTGCATGCGCCTGAAATTGAGGCGGTCCAGTCGTAAAGGCTGAGCAGTCCAGCCCACCAACAACAGAGTAGATCTTCATACATGGTCAACAAATCCGGCAATTAGAATAGGATGGTCTCTGTACTCAGCTCAAGCTTGAATGGAGGTTCCTGGCTGCTCCATCACCACACTAACGGCAGTCGACTCGCAGCGCATGCTCACGATTCTCAAAAGCGACCGCTTGTTGACGAATACTGGCCGAGGCGCTCAAAGCAAGCTTGTTACGGTCAGGTTGGTGAATTTCAATCAGGCGCTGTCGAACAGACAACATCTAGCATAAGGAGGACAGTTACTATACCTAATGTACTCAAGGACAATGCAGAGCAGCAGAGTATCTGCTATGGCATGGTAAGTATGCAACCGCCAAGTATTGAACGTCAAAATTGCTAACGCTATACAGTTCGTAGATCCCAGCATTGAAGTGAACCGCGCACAGAGCGGGCATCCTATCCTCGTTTGTCTCAATCCTGATGGGCAGACTCTGATTGAAGTGGATATTGACGGGCAAGAGAGGGCTGTTGGCACCCTTCGCAGGAAAAGCGTCGAGATATTGAAAACACTACAAAAGGAAAATAGCTTGTCGTTGCAATATCTTCTCAGATGGATAAGCGGGTCTGCTTATGAGGGTACGTATTCCTGGGGGAAGGAAGACCGAGTAACATCTCAACCGCGCTGGAGTCTGTTTGTCAACTTATACGGACCCACCAGGCTAGCCGAGGACGTTGGCAGCTTCGCGGAGGCTTGTGGAATATGCCTACAAGATCCTGAGTATTGCGATCGGAATGTGGAATATTGCAATCCACACCGGCTTCCTCGAGACGATGGAGCCATTTTCTACACCCAGTCTCTACCTAGGACTGAGTTTAAGTTGGGCGTCGAGGAGACCATAGAGGATCCCTTCGACCTTCTGGCCACGACTGAAGATGACGATTCCTTTTCGGATGCACCGCTGCCACTCGGCTTACGTACTATGCTTTATAGGTATGGATGACTGTCGAAGTCCATTTCTGGCCTTTGAAACTGGGGGTAGTTAACTCCCATCACTGACTAATGGACAATTCAGGCACCAAATACGTGGTTTATCCTGGATGTCTACAAGAGAAAGAGGCTGGGATTTCGATGGTCATGGAAGGGACATGTGGAAGGCCCAGAAGTCTCAAAATGGGCCTACTAGGTACGTCAATGCAAACAACGTTTTGACACGCTGGTTAAACAACTCCAGATATGTGAACAGAGCTACTGGTGACTGGCAGCTTGAGGCGCCAGCCGATTTCCGTGGTGGAATTCTTGCAGATGATATGGGTTTGGGTAAAACTTTGACAGTGATATCCCTGATTGTGTCAGACTTGTCAAGGAGCCATCCTTCTGCAGTGCTGCCGCAGACCCGAGTTGCTTCTATCGAGGGCCCGAAAACAACACTTTTAATCGTACCTCTTTCGCGTAAGTAAGAGCAAGAGCTTCCATACCGTTCCACACTGACTGGCTCTTTTCTCTCACCAGTCCTGCAGGTGTGGGGCCATCAAATTCAACAGTTTGTCTTCCCCTCTTGCATTTCTTCTGATGCTTACTAAATCATCTAGTCACGTCGAACCTGGCACTCTTCGGTATCATGTCTATTATGGAAAGGATCGCAACCGAACACAGTTGGAACTGGATCGACTCGACCTCGTCATCACCACATACTCGGTGGTCTCAAAAGAATTTGAAAAGGGGTTGTCAAGCCCATGTGGCCCGGGACAATTACATACTACGGTCTGGCACAGAATAGTGCTTGATGAAGGTGAGGGAGCGCCCGCTTTAGCTTCACTACCTATACGATAACCTTTCTAGCACATACTATCCGCGTTCACTCTACTGTGTCTGCCCGAGCAGCTTGCGCTCTCAACGCTCAAAGGAGATGGGCTGTCACTGGAACACCCATACAGAATCGACTGTCAGACTTGTCGAGTTTATTCAAGTTCTTACGAATGTCACCCTTTGACGAGCCGCAGACTTTCAAACGCTATGTTACGCGGACCTGGAAGTCAAGGTCTGATCCTGAGGCCGTTGCAAGATTGAAAGGTATCTGATCCCACTTAATCTGTCTGGAATTGGCTCATCTCTATGTAGTTCTTGTCAACTCCGTTACGCTTCGAAGAACCAAAGCGACCATCAGTCTTCCAAAGCGGAACGATGAGATTCACGTTCTTGAATTCGAATACGATGAGGCACAACTCTATGAAAAGATCAAGGCGCAAACTCGGCAAAAGATCGAAGAGCTTGGGGATTTACTACCTAGCCACACATTCCTGAACGCCTTAAAATGGATCAACGATCTGCGACTTGTGTGCAATCATGGGGTCGCATTTGAGCATAGTCACATTCGTTTCAAGCCGGATAACTTGACGTATGAGGCTGACACACAACCACCCACACCTTACCCAGATTTGAAGATTAATGAATGTCCTTCTCCAATGCGAATTGATTCGCATCTTGACAATGTCATATCCGAGGCCAATTCCTCAACACCAGCTAGCTCTGCATGTCTTTCGGATAGTATGGACGCTACACCGGTTTCCTACCAGGATCCTACCAGTTCCGTGAGCAATTCGCCGCAACCTGAAGAAGAGTGGAATGAAATTTCTGCGAACATGATTTTTAGAGACCTTGTTGTGTCTGGATTAGCCAACTGTTCCGTGTGCCTTACCGACCTTTCTTACGCAAAACGATCAAATGGATCGATGCAGCACAGCAACGTACCTTGTATTTCTAAAAGTCATTTACTCTGTGCACTTTGCTTTACAGAGAAGGCGTTGCCCACGGAGAAATACTTCGCCGTCTCTCTTAGCCCTCTAAGAGATGAGCAGAAGTACCTCGATCCTGGTTATATCTCGTCCTCCAGCAGATCTCCTGGGACTGCCCCACCAAACGTTGAAATTGGGCCGACGTTAGTTTCAACCAAGATCAAGACCCTAGTAAGTGATCTATCACGTCGACCGCATGGCGAGAAAAGGTTAAGTGCTTCATATCATCACTCGTGTCCCTGCTTCTGACTGGACCTAGCGTTGTCTTCTCATATTGGACAAGGACCCTAGATATGGTTCAAAGACAGCTAGGCGTTGCCGGTATCCGTTTTGCTCGTCTTGACGGAAGCATGTCTTCGTCTGTTCGAGGAAGCGCAATTCGTTCTTTCCAGACTGATCATGAAATAACCGTCTTCCTTGTTTCTATAACATGCGGAGGCGTTGGGTCAGCATAATGCTTCACTGAACTTGATCCTTGCCGTGTTTCTGACGAGTTCATAGACTTGATCTCACAGCTGCTAACAAAGCATATATCATGGAACCGCAGTGGAATCCAATGATCGAGGAGCAAGCGCTAGATCGTATCCACCGTCTTGGCCAAACCAAAGAGGTGACCACCGTGCGCTATGTGATTAGGGGTTCTTTTGAAGAGGTAAGACGCTTCAGCATCCTTCTTTCTCGACTTTCCCTCATATTCTAAATGGGTGGACCATCGAGCCGTTGTCTATTATGGAATTAGGAAATGGAGCCTGCGTTCTATCTCTTGAGCGCAGCTCATCGCTAGAATGCGGACCTTTGTTGTCCGGTCAAGGCTCGTAGGCTATAAGGCTCAATGACAATGCTAACCTGTCTAGAATGTCCGCATCATTCAAAAGCGCAAGAAAGATCTCGCCCATCTGGCTTTCCAAAAAGCGCCTCTGAAGAAGGAGGACTTGACCTATGGAAGACTTCAGGTGTGCAACGCGGTCACCTTGTGCTTACTTCGCTAATAACTAAAACTCCCAGTATCTCAAGGATCTTGTCGGTTGAAAGCTCAGTACGAGCTTGGACTTGACATTGATCTGTCAGAAAAGCTTAATCATTCTTCATCACATCTCATGGAGGTTGTGATCGCGCTACAACCTTTCCAACAGACCTTTGACCGTGTAGTAGCCATCCCAGAGCGACGAATACTTGACCGCTGGAGGGAACGTGAATCCGGACCTCCGAACCCTTCTAAAAGGGATCTTACCGCCATTGATGGTTCCCTGTCCATCTTCCCAAGAAAAAAATGACGGAGCAAGATTGCCTGCTTGGGAGCCCTTCAAGGGGCAGTTCCCGGCGCTGTTAGCCAGGCAACTGTTATATAGGCATGATCCCAGTGGGTTTTGCCCTCTGTAGAAAGCAGTGTCAGAAATAATGCGAAGCCGCCATTGTACAACTTTATCTTCGGCTATCCTACTGCATATCTTCAACAGGGTTGCATTGAGATTTTCTCTACCCAGTGATTCCTGTGACAGCCAATGACCAGCAAGCATTTTCAGCCAATCATGATAAATCCCAGTAACTGGCCGATATGTACTCCGTAGTAGTAAACATATGAGAGTAGGACCGGATCTGAGTAGGAGTGACGAGGTGTAGTAAGACTTCTGCTAAGCAACTGTATAAGAACGAAAGGACGGAAGTAGCAGTCTCAAGCGGTATCTACTTCTCACATCCCTGCACTTGCATTGTTGCATTGTTGCATTGTTGCATTGTTGCATTGTTGCATTGTTGCATTGTTGGTATACTTTTCTTGTTGCAAAAGTTGCCAGTTCCGAAGTCTCTCAAGCTGCGAGCACGTCATTTGCCTAAATTAGCCCTATACACGGCTAGAGGCTCGAGACTCCCCGGAGTAACCGGCGATTGGATTCTAACTTACATTCAAAGTCGGTCAAGCAGTTTGCTTCTACCTTCTCGTTCCTGCGTCTTTCCATACTTCTCGTTTGCGCATTGATACCTTCCAGACAAGCCTCTTATGTCCTTGAACATTCTGATTTCTTCGTTGCAAGTCGTCGAACTTGTCCCTCCACCCTAATACTTACCCCCCCTGCCTTGTCTGCAAAGATGTCAGATTCAGGATCTGCTTCTGCAGCCGCGGGAGCTTCTAGCTCAAACAGTGCTTCGAGCAAGACGAGCGCCATGGCAAAGGCCTTTCAACACCTCGACCTTGATGGCCACGACCTGCCACCCTCGCCGGCACCCTCCAGTCCTCGAAGTGGACGCCGCTATGCGCTTGCGACAGAGCTTGTTTTCACGGAAGGTAGCGACCAATACAACGCCAGTAGCGTCCCCATCTACCAATCCGCAACCTTCAAGCAGACCTCTGCCACAGGCGGCGTCTCCAATGAGTACGATTACACCCGCTCCGGCAACCCTACTCGGACACATCTAGAGCGGCACTTGGCAAAAATAATGCGGGCTCAGCGGGCACTGGTGGTATCATCTGGCATGGGCGCGTTGGACGTGATAACTCGCCTTCTCCGGCCAGGAAATGAAGTCGTAACAGGCGACGACCTATATGGGGGCACCAATCGACTACTCAAATACCTATCCACACACGGCGGCATCATAGTCCACCACGTCGACACCACCGACCCCTCAAAGGTCAAAGAAGTCCTGACCCCCAAAACAGCCATGGTCCTCCTCGAAACCCCAACCAACCCGCTCATTAAAATCGTCGACATACCCACCATCGCCAGCCTCGCCCACAACGCCAACCCGACCTGCCTCGTCTCCGTCGACAATACCATGCTCTCGCCCTTGCTCCAAAACCCGCTCGACCTCGGCGCCGACATCGTCTACGAATCCGGCACCAAATACCTTTCAGGGCACCACGACCTCATGGCCGGCGTCCTCGCCATCAACGACCCCAAGATCGGCGAAAAGTTGTTCTTCACCATCAACGCCTCCGGCTGCGGCTTATCACCCTTCGACTCCTGGCTCCTGATGCGCGGCGTCAAGACGTTAAAAGTGCGAATGGACACCCAACAAGCGAACGCCATGCTCATCGCCCGCTTTCTCGAGAGCACGGGCTTCAAAGTCCGCTATCCGGGCCTGAAATCCCACCCGCAATACGAGCTCCATAACTCCATGGCGCGGGGTGCCGGCGCGGTGCTCAGCTTCGAGACCGGCGACGTCGCGCTCTCGGAGCGCATTGTCGAGTCGGCGAAACTGTGGGCCATCAGTGTGAGTTTCGGCTGCGTGAATAGCCTGATCAGCATGCCGTGTCGCATGAGCCATGCGAGTATTGACGAAAAGACGCGGCGCGAGCGGGGCGTGCCAGAGGATCTGATTAGACTTTGTGTCGGGATTGAGGATGGCGATGATCTGTTGGATGATCTGAGGAGAGCTGTAAGCCCGCAATTCCCCCCCTTTCCGTGGAGCCCCTTAGGGCTACTTGATGCCGATCCGGTCTAACATGATGATCAGCTCGTCCAGGCAGGCGCCATGAACGTGTCGCTCGACGGCATCCACGCCGCGAATCCAACACTGGATATCCAGCATCCTCCCGAGGGAGAACATCTGGCCGCCAAAGCGGCAGCGATAAATGAGCCCTGAGTCTCAGCAGTGCATGGGTACAGCGCCTATTCTGGCTGCCGGATACTTTTTCAACAAAGCGGTTGAATCGGCTGGACATTTTCGTCGGTTGGTCCGTGTGGGGGGAAAAAAAAGAGGGGGAGGGGGGAGGGGGGGTGCGATGGCATTAGATGCGCTTCCGCAGCTTTTATGGATAAAGGCCTATAATATTAGTCATAGAACGGGGAAGGACTCACGGATGGATTATGATAGGTTGAATGGGACCGCTCTAGGCAAAGACAGGCAAGAAAACCAAATAAGCAATCAATGATTGCATGAAGCAAGCGTTTCTCAGGCAAATCTGTCTTCATTGGTCTAACTTTTGGTCTCGCGACGACGGCTCAAGCACATATGAAGCTATCAATCTCGCAAAAGCTTCTCGACTGGCTTCGACATGGTATGTTTCCAGCATGTTAGCTCTCCACATGTAGTAAGTGACATCCTTACATAAGTAAGTTCCTAACGCGGCTTCGCTTCCATTGGTTGATTTTGTCCACACTTCACAACTCATCTTTCATCTCGACATCAACCTCATCCACCGTAGCGTGCTCCCCCTCAGGCGTTGTGTTGGACTTGGTGATTTCGTTCTCACCCGACTTTGCCATGACGGGCTGGTCGAGCTTCTGGAAGTTCTCCTCACCCAAGGTTCTCTTGGCTGCGTTGTCCTTGGGGTTGCCATGAGTCCGAACAAACTCACGGCAATTGGAGCAGAGACAAGTGTTTTCATCTCTTCTGTTCCATTCCTCTTTGCGAGACCGATTTGCGATATCCTGGCCATAGAGGCCACAGTTTGGACATGGGCATGCTTGAGTGTTGTCACTGCTTTCACCATCATACCCCTCGTCCTCGGCATTCTTGATCATCATTTGCCTGAGCATCATCGTGAAGATATGGCGGCCATACCAAGTCTCCCACTCGTACTGCGCTTCTGGGTCGCTCTTGAATCGATCACAAGAGTCATTAGCTGGACGACCAGGCTCTGGAATCAAGTGATCTGCAACTTTCCAAAAGAGCACGGCCACATTACTTTCCTTGAGCTGACGGAAGCCACGATAAGCCAAACCTATACTCTTCAGGCGCTACGCCGTTAGGGAGTTGCTCTTTTCTAAGGAGCGATAAATGAGCCAATCCCAGATCCTGTCACCAACATGGTCGATGAGCCAGTCACAGTGGGTCATTATGATGACTTTTTGGATCTCGATATTGTGTTGGATGACCGTTGCAGCAAAATTCACGGCACTACTAGCCGCGACAATGGTTGCTCTTTCCTTCGTCGGTGGGGGCTGGCGGACTGAACCTGGCGCACCATTGAACTCAGAGTTCGGTCCAGAATATCTTCCAGAAACTACCTGCGCAAGACTGGTGTCTTCACGTCGAGCTTTTCCGTCGATGCTGATTATCAGGGCGTCATGTTCGACCTTCGACGTTAATAGTATATAGGAAGTGCTATGACGCTGGTGAGAGATTTGCTCTAAGGAGCCTAAGAAGATTATTTCGGATGGCGGAGTACTCGGCGTCCCGTATTTAGCAAACCCGGATGAGAGGAAGACACGATTGGTTCTCGCCCTAATCTCGAGAGGAGGGTTGTGCCGTCACGATCGTGCTCGTACCCATCACGATTTGTGCTTGGGACGGGGCAACAGTTGAGTCGGTAAGTGGTAGCCATAGCTAAGATTGTTCCGGGTTTTAGCAAGAGCTTTGAGTAGAGATAATGTGGAGGAATTGCTTAGTGCATGAAGGAGGGCAGCTGAGCAAGAGACGAGAAGGTTGATGGACAGGAAACCCGGGTGGGGGAGGGTTGAAGCATTAAAACCTATCATCTAACTGGGAAGTGTAAAGGACCCTGACAGGAGGGGAGAGAGGATAACAAAGAAATGAAAAACATATGGGATGGATGGACGTTTCAACGCGGGCAGATGCATCGTTTAAGGTGGCAAGAAAGAGCAGGTGCAGCTTACCGAATCACACACCGCAATCACAGACATGGGCAGAGAGATGGAACTTGCTTCTGCAAAGCCGGTGTTGACGCAGCTCACCGCCATGCTGACAGTTGATACTATGCAGATACAACAAACTACTCGTCGGTTTTCACCGCTCAGAACGTCATGTGGTGGATAGTAAGCTCTCCTACCCCACATCGATGCTAACGCCCTCTAGATCGAGACGAGATGTCAGTTCGAGCCATAAGCAGAATCGTTTTGATCCAATGCAAGGTTGGCAAGAGTATCGGCTCGCGTATTGAATTCCCGTGGAACTCTCCAGAACAGCACTCGAATTCGCTTCGCATGTTCGACCTCGATGATCCTCTTGTGCAAAGCAAGCAGATACTTCCAGTGCTGTACCTCTTCTCCGTTCGATTTGAGACCGCCAGCCGTGATCCAGTTCCATATCCACTCGGTCATTGATTTGTGCAAGTATTCGCTGTCGGTCTTGATCACCACCTTGGTCGTTCTCTGCCCAGTCAGATCTATTTTGGCGATGGCCTCAATGGCTTGTATGGCCCCTTCAATCTCTGCTCGGCTGCTGGTTTGTGGCAAGTGGCTCGCAAGACGACCATAGCTGTTGTGTGGAGAAGATACGCCAAAGTAGACACCATAAGCGGCTCGGGAGGTGATATCCCTATTGTGGTTTCCACGAGAGGCCCCGTCGATCGAGACAAAAATTGACTGTTTCTCCACCCAGAGTGGTCTTGGTCTTCCAGGTAGGAATTGGAAGTACCTGAGCTTGGAGAAGTCGTACTTGGGGCTGTCGATGACGAGTCGGTTTGGTGGAAGGGTGGGTTTACCATAACGTCGAGCGGTGCTTGGATCGAAGCTTCGGGGTAGCTGGTACGTATTAGCAGAGTCTGATCAGGCAGTGCACTGGAGGAATCAACATACCAAGATTTCGGCCGCTGTGATGCTAAAGCACGAGGAAGCTGATAAGCGAAGTTGTGGTTAAAGTGATCTGTAAATAGCAAGTAGTAGAATGGTTCCTAAGTAACGAAGCTTGCTCGGCTCCAGAAATCAAACACGAGTTATAGAAGATGGCTCGATTGAACAATATGGACAAAGGATGTGGAGGCAAAGCATGCACATAACGGTGGGATTGCTGGCTGCCGGCATACCAAACACAAGTCTTCTTTATATACTATGTACGTCTCCTTGTGTTTAGTAGCTCACGCGCAGGTTATGATTGTCATAGCAGACTCCGTTGAGGCGGCAATGCATGCCTTTGTTCAACACCCGGTTCACTGCAAGCATGAGAGCTTGCAAGGCGGTTGAGACCGATGGACCAAAATACGGAGAAGCTTTCAAGCTACGGAGTACATAATTAGAACATACTATGTAGTAATCTCAATCAGGGGCAAATGGCTTGGCAAGGGGCTTGGTGAAATCAACCAACTTGACTTCAAAGTTTGTGAGAACAAACCTTCCTCTTAGTTTGTTGAAAGCTAATTCTTTTATCTGTCCTTCTTCTACCCGTGCATGTCATATCTTCTTTCTTCTGGAGATTGCCCATAGAACCTGGCTGATGTAGCCTCGATTCGCTTGATCAAGGAGACTTTGTCTCGGACGTGAGCTTGTCGAAGCACATGCAGAGCATATATTGTGGTGGTTAAGCCGAACTCCGTCCCTCATCATGTCCTGCATCAACAGCAGGTAAGCTCTCTTCACAGTACCCTCAGGAGCAGCTTCTACATGCAATGTACAAGATGAATAATGTTCAAGTCGCCACTACGACGGTACCCCCAATCTTGTGGCCACAGTAATACCAATGCTGGAATTCGTGCAACTCGCCATATATGGAACATATCAGTACATGATGTTGATGAATAATCGTGTTATTGGCATCTATGTCACACGATCGTGCGAATATCTAGCCCTATCACCATGCCCAGTACAACCGATTTGGGATACCTCAACCTTATCTCCACTTATTCAGGAAGCCCACATCCGCCGCTAGAGGTCCACAAAAATCTGAGTAGTACACGCACTTCGACAGCGATATGGCTCTCCTTCCCATACTCATTGTGTTATTGTTACTTCTGGCAAGAAGTGAGCCATAAGGAAAGGTGCCAAGCAGCAACAGCAAGGAGTCGAGAGGCGAGGACTACACCGCTCAGAATTAAGATCAATGGTAGCTATCCTGACTCAACCCTGGGGACCAGATGGAAGCGACGCGGTTTTGCTTGTCACAGTTGGTTGAAAGTAGAGTTGCCGACCACGAACATGAGAGGCCGACAGTTATACAAATTGTGTTCCAAAGTCCCGGTAGTCATCTGCCCATGGACTTATACTTGTTACTGACTTTCCAGCACGGGTGACCAGTTTTCTGAGCCGGCCAACAGTTGGTCCCCAATCTGCTGCCACACACGGACATAACGCAAACCAAAGCTGAAAAGACGTTGAGGAGCCTGCCTCTTGTTTCACGGGGTACTGCTGACCTTCCACCACGAGCTGCGTAGCTACAATAGGTGGTAAAGACCTGGACCGTGGTATTCGCGAGGGAACCGTGCCTTTCAACCCCTCTACCACATTCCGTGGCAGGCTGGGCAGAAGTCTTGGATAACTTCAACACAAGTGACCCACTCATCGCAATCAAGTGGGTTTGAGCAGAAGCGGTGATACATCTGGCCGAAATGGCCACAAAAATCGTAACGCGGGTGGATCTCGTAGCACATATTTGACAAGCGATCGAGTTGAGAAGGAGTAAGACAATTGCCGTCTGTTGGGCTGGTTGGAAGATTTTCCGCGAGCTGAAGAAGAACAGAGGAGGTGGTGCGAACAGACACGGCTACCAGAGCGAGCAGAAGTAATAAGAAGTTGATAAGATGAAACCCAACTACCAGCAGTTTCTAGAAAGTTGGATGCAGTAAGAAAAGCAGAATACAGAAGGAATAGTGGTGTATAAGTACGAAACACAGCAAGAGACATGACTGAACCATGATATCCAAGAATGAAAATGTTCCAAACTAGGTCAAAGAATATCATGATTTCCATGCTAAAAGGTTCCAGAAAAGTGGCTCTTTCTTTTTCCATTGTAGACATTGCGCTGTCTCTGATGGTTGCAAAATACGTGGGCTTTGGAGTTGAATTGGCAGGATCCCCTTTGTTGGTTAAGCTCGTACATGTGGTGAGAAACACAGTGTCATCCAAGACAGCAGGGATGAAATTGCTGGCAGAATGCTGGATATGTTTTGCTGTCGTCAACTTCTTGTGCCCTATGAAGGGCATGATCGAAGAAGGGAGATGAGGACAGCTGGCTCCCCAACCGGCTTAGGGGGCCTGCGGCTTGGCGGTAGCTGGAAATTATTTGCATACGCAGACTTCCAGCATGATATATCTGCCTGGCGATCGAGATTTGATTAACCTTGAATATCCAACTTCTTTTCTTTCCCCACCATTTACTATTGTGCTTGGAACTACGCAATCGCAAAGATGGCCGTGAGCCCGCAGATGTAAGCTCTACGTGGACGTGATGCGATTGCGAATATCTCCACTGACAGGTTCGTTCCTGCAGAACAAACATGGTCATCGTCCTCGGGATGATGCAGGTATCGAAGAAGATACCGTTCGATGATCCACAAATTCTCATGGGCGTGAGAGCATTGTACATTGTCTCCAATGTTATCATTTTGGGCATTTACCTCTACATACAACAGCAAATCAACAGGAAGAAAGGTAGGTTCCAGGAATATAATAATTCTGCTGCTGCACCGTGGAACCCGCTGACGAGGTGATCGCGCGGC